AAAACTGAAAATTCAAGGTGAATTCAAAGTGAATTTCAAAATGTGAACGGTCACTTTAATGAATAACTCTGTAAGTAAGCTGCTTCTCATATATACACCAAACAGTCTGATTTTCCTGGAAAGAGGCACTCTGGGGTAGGAATAAGAAACAGAATCATTTGGCCTATAAAGAGACACTGTCTCGCTCTCAAACAAAGTATGTAGTGCTTACATTACATCCATACTGCACAAATTATAATTTTGGATTTTAGACAAAGTAGCATTTTAGTAAATCACAGAACAAAGAAATGTGATAAATGTAATCGGTGCAACGTGATTTCACAATATTATGTGCATGAAAAGGAATTGTTTAAATGGAATGGTTAAACTAAGATCCATAACAATGGTTGATTTTAATCATCCGGACATATAAAAGGCAAAAAGTGAAACTTCAGAGGAAACAAAATATTTCCTTAGTCTTCAAGAGCTGCTATTCTGAGGAAATTATACTTCCTAACTTATCACACACACCATTCTAATCTCACAAGATGTCAGTGCTTGAGGCATTTTTATAACAAAATCTGCAGAACAGTTATAGTATATATGGATTAAAAAATATATTATTCAGATGTAAATTATATTCAGAGTGAGAAGTTGGTAGTTATCTAAAAGGAACATTCCAAGCATCATAACCACTACAACTTTCTGCAGTGGATATGGTGCTAGGAGGACCCTTACACATTCTCCTTTTAAGTAGTCAAACAATTTTTGAAGAAAAAATCTAGCTGGAAAAGGGACTTTTTAAAAGCTGTGTTCCTTTCCCTCAGATTCACAAATATCTATATATATATTTAAATAATTTAGAATATAATATATAATGTTATATAAGCAGTTCAGCATACAGGTTAACTCTACAGCATTATATTATATGACAATCACGTTAGTCTGTCTCACAGTAATGGTGAAACGTCCTACAACCAGGTAGATGTCCTGTAATCATGATCATGCATCCAGTGTGCATAAGTACAAACTGGTTGGTTTATTGAGCTCATAACTGTGTGTGTGTGTGCGTGGGGGGGAGGATGTGAGGCACATGCCGCCCGCAAAATTGAACTGCAATGCCAGATATACATTTCAGGCTCACATAGGCTTTTTATGTGAGGTATGGATCTTCAAGTGCAAAGACAATGGATCCTGTTCTAAGTAAGCCTTTAACTTTCAGGGAGAAACAGAAAGTACCCTAAAGAAAATATACGGGAGAAAGATTACCAGCCTACTGTTTATGGAGTTAGTAACCACACTTCAATGAGGAGATCTATTTGATACCAAAACTTCAGTCTTGTGTTGTGAGCAGGCAGATTTTACTAATCATTTAATAGTTTCTTAGGAATCATGGATTTTATTAAAGACACGGAGGCTCCTATTATGCTTCTCTTTCTTTAATTTTCCCTCAGCAACGAAGAGAAAAAATGTATGTAAAAGAGAAAACAACATAACATTAACATATTCAACAGTGCTACTAATCAGTATCCACCCCCTTCAGTATATAAGGTGTAGCACTCTCTTCCTATTCCTCTTTCTTCGCTGCTCCCTCAGACCAGCTAAGTACATTATTCTCCTCTTGCTTTGTGATATAATTGCTGTAGGATTATAGATGTTACCCCTATTCACTAAGGGGCTTATGTTTCACTCCCACTACTTTGCTTTCCCCAGTTTCAGGAGTCATAGAATGTATTATCTTTTATTTCTATGCATTTTTTTGTATTATTGTTGTTATTTCATTGCTTTACTGTATTTGTGTCCCCTTGGTCCTGTGGTGTACTTTGGGTCTGTCCTTCTGACAGGTGAGGGTTTCTTTCCCCCTCTGGGTGGGTTTGCTCTGTTTCCCTACCCCCCTCCCGACCGGGAACCGTCCCGAGGTTCCCCTTCCCCACCTCGCCCCGTTCTCGGCTCCCTCCAAGGCCCCTGCCAACCTCAACCGCATGGCTGTTAGTTTTACTTTCACTTTCGACGCACGCAAGCTCCGCGCATGCGCACGGCACTCGCGGCAGCCATCTTTTTGGTTTCTGTCGCCGCCCCATGTCGGTGGCCATTTTTTTCACTCGTGCTGCGCTTTTAACGATTTTTTTGAGGCTGCACTCGATACTGCTCCCTGAAATAACCCAGGACCCGGGTATTTTCTCTACTTATTACACTACCCTGTGCTTGGATTAAGCAATCCTGCACCTTTGTACCCATTTAACTACTTATTTCTTTCTTTCCTGCACTCATTTACTGCAATCATGCAGTCTGCTGGAGAGTACTTACCTGGCCACCCCAACCCCCCTTTGGGTACCTCTGGCCCTGACCCCCTGGCTGACCCTAACCTTATAGGCTCAGAAGAATTTCAGAGCCTCCTGGACGCCACTATGTCCAGTTCTATCAGTAAGGCCATTCCCTCAGCCATGGGGGTTATGTCCTCCAGCATCTCACAATCCATTTCAAAAGCCCTTAGGCAGGCCCTCCCTGCTCAGGCTGATACGGTGCAGACGCATACCACCCCTGAAGGGGCACCTACGGGACAAAAATCGCTAGGAAAGCGCAAACATGTTCAAGACCTCCCCCACACCCAGGCAAAGCCTGGTTTGATTGACATGCCTCAGGCTGTCTGTGATGGTGCTCAACAACCGAGCAATAGAGCTACTGGCCGGGCTACGGCAGCCAGAGATTGGAAACGGGCGCGGGCCCATGATTTACTGTCTGAGTCAGATGAGGATGGGGATGAGGGATCGGATGACCAGTACTCAGATCCCTATGGGGATGAGATCTCAGGAGGTAAAGATCTCCCGGGAACACAATTCCCTTCTAGACCGACTCATGCCAAGACACAGTCGGAGACACCTGGGGCAAAGACAGTCCGTGACGCAAAGGAAACACTTGCGTTTGATCCAGACAATCTGAGACACCCTCGCTCCACTGAATGGGAGCCCTCTGAGCACATCGCTCAATACCTGCCTCTCAGAGTGCGTAAATCCCTCTCCCAAGAGGGTCATAAAAAGCTGAGAGCGGAATGCCCCTGACCTATCATACCTGATGCAGTGGCAAAAACCCCTGAAGTCGACTCGCAAATTATCCAATTTTTGGCCGGTTGGAAGCCCAAGAAGGGCTTAGATTACTCACTACGAAACTGTCAGGACAAGTTCCTAGACACTCTGGGTCCGGTCACCAAGTTATACGAATTGCCTGAAGCAGCTCAGTCAGGCGAGTCACAACTAGATTTCGATGTGGCATTTGGATGGCTCCAACACAGCAATGTCTACCGAACGCAGGAAGGCCATCCTGCTCAAGATCGAGCCCAAACTAGCTAGCATGGCTCCCAATGAACCGGGTGCCTCCGCAAAAGGCTTGTTGTTCGGGGAGTCCTTCGTAAAGGACCTAGGCTCCTACGTAAAGACCTTTACGGCTTTGGACAAATCCCAATCTTCCATAAAACGTGTATTTAACCAAAAGGCGGGACCGGTAGAGGTAGGAGCCGTCTATCTGGCCGCAACCCCCGGGGTTTTTCCAGACCGGACAAAGGCTCCTTCAACCCCCAGAAACCGAATCAGGAACGGTCCTACACTCCATTTTTCCCTTCACGAGGAAGACCTTGGCATGCCCGCGGCGGTCGAGGAGCATCCACGGGAAAACGCCCTTATGGTGAGTACGCTTTTTCCCCATTTTTCCCCATATAAATATATGGGGCAGATTGGCCCTGTTCTCTCAGGCTTGGGCTATGATCACGTCCGACAGTTGGGTGTTACAGACTATAGAGGGTTACCACCTGGAACTGACGACCTTTCCCGTTCAGGGCACCCCCCCAAGGGCGATCCATATGTCAGAATCACACCACAATCTCATCTCTTCGGAGATCAGGGAACTGCAGGCCAAGAAGGCTATAGAGGAAATCCCTCTAGATACTCCAGGTTTTGTGAGCAACCTGTTCTTAGTGCCGAAAAAGGGAGGAGGCGTTTGCCCGGTTATAAACCTGCGACCCTTAAATGCCTTTGTTCATTATCGGCATTTCAAGATGGAGGGTATACATTATCGGCACTTCAAGATGGAGACCTACTCCTTCCTGGAGACTGGATGGTCAAACTAGATTTGCAGGACGCGTACCTGACAGTCCCGATAGCGGCAGAACACAGAGATCTGCTTCAGCTCCGGTGGGGAACAAAGAAATGGCGTTTCACATACCTTCCCTTCGGTCTGTCCTCTGCCCCCTGGAAACCAGTGGTGGCCTTTCTCAGACTACACGGGGTCCGACTTATCATTTATCTGGACGATATCCTCCTGCTCTCCGGGACACGGTCCCTACTGTTAGTTCATTTAGCACGGACCCTGCATATCATTCAGAACATTGGCTTCCTAGTGAACTGGAAGAAATCGGTTCTAATACCTTCACAACAAATGGAATTCTTGGAATTCCGAGTCGACTCCGTTCAACAGATTCTATGCCTCCCGGCAAAGAAGATGTCCAACATCAAAAAAGAGATAAGACGACTTATGCACCAGCCGGACATCTCCCTATGACAACTGGCACGGGTCATTGCCAGTTGATCATCCAGGCGATCTTTCCGGGTCCTTTTCACTACCGGGCACTACAGCGTCTAAAAGCTACCTGCTTACGAAGTGGCCACTCATACCAATCCCACGTTACTCTGAAATCCAGGGAGAAACTGAACTGGTGGTTGACCCACATGGAAGCGTGGAACGGACGAGCAATCTTCGGTTCCACCCCGGACCTAGTGATAGAGTCGGACGCCAGCTTACATGGCTGGGGCGTGCGCTGCGGCTCCATATCCACAGGAGGCAGATAGTCCACGGACGAATCGTTCCTACACATAAACTCTCTGGAACTGCTAGCGGCCTCGTTCGCCATTCGCAGTCTCTCACCCAAGGGCATCTGATGCTCGATCCTACTCAAACTAGACAATGTCTCAGCAGTACAATACATAAACCATCTAGGAGGCACCAAGTCACGCATCTTAGCGGTTTTGGCTCGAGACTTCTGGCATTACTGTTTACAGAACAATGTGTCAGTTACCGCGGAACACATTCCAGGCCTGGACAATTACACCGTGGATTGGAACTCCCGTTACCTGAGGGACTCGGGAGATTGGAGACTTCAACTGAGTGTGTTCCACAAGATCGCGCACTTATGGGGACCTTTGAGTGTGGACCTGTTTGCGTCCAGACTGAACACGCAACTTCCGCAGTTCTTCAGCTGGCGACCGGACCCGGAAGCCGTGGCGACCGATGCATTCCTCCAAGATTGGACCAGAGGCAGGGCATATGCCTTCCCTCCATTCACCCTGATTGCTCGTTACCTGGCGTACCTCCGACGCTTCAAGAGCTCGATGGTCCTGATAACCCCATGTTGGAGGTCCCAACCTTGTTTTCCACACCTATTGGAAATGGCAATCGATCGCCCACGGTTATTACCAGATCACCCATCTCTCCTAACCAATCCAGACGGGGAGAGTCACACTCTGATAGAACAAGGGCTCCTCCATCTCATGGCGTGGCTCCTTTCCGGGGACCCTGGGAAATCACAGAGGTTTCGAGCACAACTACACAACTCCTGGCAAACACATGGGCACCAGGAACACGACATGCCTATGCTGCAACCTGGAGACAGTGGGCCATTTGGTGCTTGGAACGATCGTTGGATCCTGTATCAGCCTCTGTGAAATCGGTGTTGGATTTCCTGACACATCTGTTCGAATCAGGCAAAGCATTTCGCACCGTCAACCTATACCGTTCTGCAATCTTGGCAGGCCATGATCACGACGGACTCCCACTCTGACAGAACCCCTTAGTCTGTCGTCTACTTAAGGGTGTTCGTTTCTCACGTCCTCCTACATCTATATATGGCTCCTTTTGGGATGTCATCTCGGTATTCAAGCTCCTAGACGGATGGCTCCCTGACTCAGAATTGTCATTAAAACAATTATCGGCAAAATTGCTTATGCGGTTTTGTCTTTTATCCTGTAAGCGAGTGTCCGACGTAAGAGCTTTGGATTGACAGGCTCGCATGTTCACTCAGGAAGGAGTGTCATTCGATATCTCGCGGAGAACAAAATCAGCAACTAAACAGGTTTTCTACCCGAGAATCACAAATCTACCCAATCTATGCCTGATACTGTGCCTAAAAGAATACGAATCTCGCACGTCTACTCTATGCCCATCTAATGACGGACCTCTGTTTATCTCGCTGAAGAAACCACATCTTCCGCTATCTACTCCAACGCTTGCGCGTTGGGTCAAATGGTTATTGGCTGCGGCCCTGGATAGATGTCTCGGTGTTCTCATCCCACTCCGTCAGAGGCGCTATGGCCTCTAAGGCATCAGCGATTGGATGTCGATTGGAAGACATCTTGAAGGCTGCAGATTGGTCTACGGAATCCACATTCCAGAACTTTTATTTTAAACCTATCCAACATTTTTCAGATAAGATTATAGCTCAGCTTTGAAATAGCATAATTGGAGCCTCTGTGTCTTTAATAAAATTCCAAGATTTTACTATTAACATGACGTAAAGTCATGATTTTATTAATGACACGGAGAAGAGTATTATTCCCTCCCTCCCTCCCTGGGTAGAGTTGATGGGGTTTTCACATGCCGGTCAGGATTAGATTGAGTCTGCCTCTGTCCTCATACCTTGTATGTTGGATTTTCCCTGTTTTATTATCGGATTTGAATATCAAGACTAGATTATCACGCTAATTTTCTATATATGTTTTTCATGTCTGATGTTAGGACTATGGATTTTCTCCAGACCTAGGTAACCATATATATGCTGGGGTATGTTACAACGAGATGTCAATCGAGATATTACCATATTTCTCCTCTTTTTTAGCCTGCATTCTCATGTTGGAGTGATAAAGAAGATTTAAAGGATAGCTCTACCGTTTTCCCATAAGGAAGGGATGTATGACTGCTATCCGATGTTACAGTTCCGGTTCAGGTTTATCGTTCGGTTATTGGCTGGTCTTCAGATCGCTACAGAAAGAGGAAGAGAGTGCTACACCTTATATACTGAAGGGGGTGGATACGGATTAGTAGCACTGTTGAATATGTTAATGTTATGTTGTTTTCTCTTTTACATACATTTTTTCTCTTCGCTGCTGAGGGAAAATTAAAGAAAGAGAAGCATAATAGGAGCCTCCGTGTCATTAATAAAATCATGACAAAAATGATTGTGTTTGTTTAAATGAGATTGTATTTGTGTAAAAGTACTAAACGTATAAATATAAATGGGTATTTTATGCAGATGCATAAAAGTGATGACAAAAAAAAAAAAAAAGATGTGGTCAGAAAAGCACCATGGTTTACAGGCTATCAAAAACATACATAGAGCTGGAGTGAAATGTGTAATCATCTTTTTTACACAATTAATGATTTTGTCTCCAGGTATTTACTGGGGCTTCCATGATGACAGTTGGGGAACATGATATCTGAATGTTATAATGTGAGGAAGGTGGGAAGTTTCCATGGGTAAATATAAAGGTTTGTGTTCTTAATGGAATATGAAATAAAGTGACCTTTTCATGTAATGAATGATGACTATTTGGATCTCGTGAGGAGTGAGGCAATTACTTAACTCGACAAGCTAATACAAAAGCAAAATCCTTCTTCATATGCCATAAAAACCAATATTTTACCCTAATTGCCATACATTCTCTAAGCAACCAAGCCCAAGTCTCCTCTCATCCCTCTTGTAATATTACTAGTTTTGAGGGTACCTTTATAATGGAATCAAATATTCTCACAAATCTGCATGACCTTCTTAATTAGCAGAATATAGATTGATTTAATTGCAACATGCGGCAACTTGTAAAACAAATCTTACCACTGTAATAAAATGTAAGACATTTTAAAGGAACACTAAAGTGTTAGGAATACAAACGTGTATTCCTAACATTGATGTGTTGGACAATATTTGAGGATGCCCCAGCCCCCTTCTGTTTGGAGAAATGAGGTGATTAAACTGACCTTTTTCTTCCACTCTGCTCCGGTCTCACCACAACTGGTCATGCTTTCATGGCTGAAATCATCAATTTTGATGATCGCAGCTAATCCCATGGAAGGCTTTGGGAGGCATGCACGGCAAAAAGCCACATTGAATTAATCAGCATCTCTTCAAAACATTGAATCAATGCATCTGTATGGGGAGCGTACATAGAAACATCGAATGTGACGGCAGATAAGAACCATACGGCCCATCTAGTCTGCCCATTATTTCAAAATACTTTTAATTAATCCCTGGCCTTATCTTAAGTCTAGGATAGACTTATGCCGAGACGTACAGCCTCTTCATGCAGAGCGTGGAGACACTGAACATAGGTGCTGCTCACTGTGCAGCACTAGACAAAGAAGCACCTTTAGAACCGTCTGAGTGACTGCTATTAGAGGTGTTGCTAGGCATTATAGCCACTGTAACCACTACATTAAAGGACCACTCTAGGCACCCAGACCACTTCAGCTTAATGAAGTGGTCTGGGTGCCAGGTCCAGCTAGGGTTAACCCATTTTTTTTATAAACATAGCAGTTTCTCTGAAACTGCTATGTTTACAAATGGGTTAATCCTTCCTCCAATTCCTCTAGCGGCTGTCTCATTGACCGCTGCTAGAGGCGCTTGTGTGCTTCTCACTGTGAAAATCACAGTGAGAGCATGCAAGCGTCCATAGGAAAGCATTGTAAATGCTTTCCTGTGCGACCGGCTGAATGCGCGCGCAGCTCTTGCTGCGCGTGCGCATTCAGCCAAATGGGAGGAGAGGAGGAGGATAGCTCCCTGCCCAGCGCTGGAAAAAGGTAAGTTTTTACCCCTTTCTTCTCCCCAGAGCCAGGCGGGAGGGGGTTCCTGAGGTTGGGGACACCCTCAGGGCACTGTAGTGCCAGGAAAACGAGTATGTTTTCCTGGTACTATAGTGGTCCTTTAAGCTGGTGACTATAGTGTTCCTTTAAGTACATACCAGAATCATTTTCAGCTACATCTACTAGTTTCACACTACTAGGCTTTTAAACTACTATTTTTTTAAATATAGTTTAGGCAGCCATTTGTGAGAAACCTATATAACGAATTGAACAATGAAAGATTTAAAAGGAACACTCCCCTGCCCATTTTTTTAATGCATCTATTCATTGGGAGTATATCTTCAAAGAGCTTTTAAAAGCTGCAGTGTTTGCAAGGCCTCCCCTACTCATTGAGAAGCAGCTGAATTGGTGCACTCATACTTCGGCACCATTTCGTGTGCATGTCTGTGCTAGTGAATGTCTGTCTGAGGTCTGGAGGAGCTAAGAGATGCTGATCTGAGGTCTGTCTGAGAGGAGCCAGGCACACTCAAGTGGAGCATCACTTCTGTTAGCTAAGGGGAGCAAATGGAAGGATGAGCAACACTCCCTGTCTATTTATAAAAGTGCAAATTTCTTATAGAAATCAGCACTTTCATAAACTGGGGTTAAAATAGGATACTCCTCAACTATACAAGTACTTCAGAAAGATGAAATGCTTTTGGGGTGTGGAGTGGACCTTTAACCCCTTAAGGACACATGACATGTGTGCCATGTCATGATTCCCTTTTATTCCAGAAGTTTGGTCCTTAAGGGGTTAAGCAGTCTAAACATATTCAGTTGTTTCACACATTCTAGATTAGGCTCCCATCTACTTCAACTTCTTGTATAACTTTAATTACCCATGAAAAAAAAGGAAAAAAAACTAACAGAAACACCTTCCAGGGACCTGCCAAGAATAGATTAGATATAGATAGAACACCAAGATATAACTGTATTTGTAATGACAGAACAGAAAATTTAATTTCACCTATATATTGTGCTTGCAGAATTGATACCAAATGTCTAAATTTCTTTAAAATCAGATATTAAAAATAGCTCTTTTTCCCTCCTCTCAGTCAGTTCAGATTGTGCGTAACCCATGCCAATCAACACAGATCAGAAGACTGTGCTCTACCATCTCTCTTCTGGATTGAATTCAGCCTAAGAGACAGCAATGCCTGCAAGTGAAAGAAGGACGGACAGTCTGGCTTTGTGTGAGAGCAGCACGGAATGAAGAGAGAAGCAGCCAGAGTGATTTATTGCAGCAGCATTGGACAGGCAAGCTGGGAATGGTGATAGAGAACAAATCTCTATCTAACAAAGTGTAGGGGACTTTTACCTCGTTATGGGAAGCAAGCCTGCAATTCTCAACATGGGTGGTGTGCAGGAGAGGTGTGTCTTACAGCTAGTGTAACACCCACTGAAAAATGAAAAATGTGCTCAGCAGGAGACATGGTTAATGGAAATAAAATAAAGTATGACATAATTATAAAATAGGAGTCAAGCCAAATGGGTTAGAAAACTGCAAACCTATATCTGTCATGACAGGTTCACTTTAAGATAAAGAAACCTACAGGACTGAAAAAGAGTATTAGGAACTCTGGGGTCTTCTACAGATTTCAGAAAAAAGGTCCCCATGAGGTCTTTCTTACATAGTTGATTTAGTGTTCAGTACTGTACATTTACAAAGTCACTTATGTCAGGTAATGGTATAAATGTGCAATATGATTATATGTAGATTTGAAGAAAAAGATTTAATCATCAAACATCAATCTATGCCCTGAGCTCAAATAAAACAAAAGAAAATCGAAAGAAATAAAACAATTCAACTGTTAAACATTTGTCTTAATTATTTAACTTTTATTACTGTTGCACCATTTATACAATTACATATAATTTCAATGCATCCATTTTACATCTTCCTTATTTATTTCTGTAATTTTTTTGTATTTTCTATTTTTTAAATTTTTTGTTTTGTTTTCCAAATGAGTGTTGTGTTGGTGTCTGTGACATAGAATGGAAGAAAAACTGGAACTGCAAATCAACGCAGACTTTTTTTATTATTATTTCCACTGACCAATAAAACAGAACTACAGGTGCACCCAACCACAGACATGCATTAATTCATCATGAGAAATCTAGATAGACTAAGTAAGATGAGGATGCTGTTGCTCCCAAAATATCTGGAGAGGATCAAGAGACAGCTAAAGTGGGTTCAGTTGGAAAAGTTTGGCCGTTATTCACTGCATTTAAAAAATTAAAGGAAAAAAAAAAAAGTAAAAGAAAAAACAAAAGATATATTATAATAAAGAATATTGACTGCAAAAAAAAAAAAAATATCTCTAAGAAAGATTTGATTGCCTTGGCACAAGCCCTATGGGCAAATTTGATAATATTTCTCCTGCAATCTTATTGCAGAAGGGAAAAAAAATGGGTTGTTTTTTTTTGCAGCTACTGTTCTGATGTAAAAAGATTCATTTTTTGCTCACAAACGTCTATTCCTAAACTTGTATACCTTCTTGTTTAATTTAATTGTTAAATTGACAAGAATTGGTGGAATGTGAATTTTATCTTTGTACATTTTTCCCCACAAAAATACTATTTGGAATTTGTATATCCCTTCTGGGCTTTACATGTACTTATCTCAGATCTAAAATCAAGTTTGTTAGTATAGCTGAAAAAAAATATATAATCAAAAAACAAAGAAGAAAAAAAACAAACAAACATTGCAGGTTGTCGTAAATGGTTATTTCAAACAGGCTGTCCATTTTACTCTTGAACTGCTACGGTTTGATCAGAATTAGCTGCTGGGGTCTCAGGTGCTTTAACTTCATCAGCTGCAGGCTCAGAGGCCTTAGTAGTAGAACTAGGAGCTTCACTTTCTGGAGACTTCACGGAAGATGGAGCAGCTTCACTAGGTTTTGAGTCTGAAGCTGGGGCGGTCTCGCTTTTGGCTTCTGGGGCATTGGGAGCCTCAGTCTTTTTGGCTTCCCCATCCTCTTTGCTCTTTTCATCTACTTTACTTGGTGCTGGTGCTTCCGAAGGCTGGGAAACCTTTGCCTCAGTGCTTGGCTCAGAGATTTTTGGCCCTTCACTATTAGTAACTGGAGCAGGAGCTGCAGCACACTCCTCCTGCTTGGATACTGGTGGGTCAGTGTTCTGAGTTTCCACCTTCGCATCAGAGCTAGCTTCTGTATTCTCGCTCTCTGTTTTTTGCACTCCATCTGCCTTCGGGGCATCTTTCTCCCCCTCCTTGCTTTCTGATTTTTTTTCTGCCGCTTGTGAATCTTTATCATTTTTTTCATCTTTATTTTCTTTTGTCTCCGTACTCTCTACAGCAGACTCAGTCTCATCGTTGGTTTTAGGTGTCCCTTCTTCCTCTGTATTTGCTCCTTCGGCTTTTTTGTCTTTGTCTTTAGATTTATCATCATTCACATTGTACCCCTTCTTCTTCTTGCTCAGTTTTCCTCCCATGTTCAAAGCCCTTAAATAAAGAGAGAAAAAAAAATGGTTATAAAAATATATTCTGAAGGTGTTTTACATTATAATACAGTGTTTATAATTATACAGATAAATGCATACATTCTATATAAAACATTCTTTTTAAAGACATTACTTGAGAAGAGTATATTTTACACACACACACACACAAACAAAACACTAGGATTGTATAAAAAGGTATGTACATAGATTTTAGCCCCATACCCTAAACCATCAAAGAGTACAAGCAGCACATTCTATATTATTCATCTACATTTCAGACCCAGATATTAATAACCTGTACATTACCAATCTTACTTGGTAAAAAGCATTACAGGAAAAAAAAAAAAAAAAAAAAGAGTCAGACAGTTTTTAAGTGTGTCCTCATTCTGCCACATAAAAAAACACTAAAGCAATCTTCTATGAAATACAGGCATGACTAACTGTCACATTGGATAAGCAAGACAACACACTTTTTTTAATGCCAAGCGAAATGTAGGCTGAAGCATTATTGGACTGACTTTACTACATTATGATTTACATGTATGGATCTATACAGCCAAAAGGAAGCCAAGTTTATAGTTACAACATTTACTCATGCCTTTCTAGGATAATATAACTCACTATGTGACAATGCACTTCTTAGTAAACCGTCAGCATTGTATTTCATATTTTGGATTAGGTATGCAGCCTTGGTATTGGTTAAGAAACAACCTAAATGACTGAACACACACAATCTAGGTATCATAGTGTGTCTGAAACTTTAATAGCATGAAAACTGTTTAGGTACTTGAATTGACTGTAAATTAAAGCACCAACAGTATAATTATCCTCTTTACTACCAGGCCCTTTTTGTTTGGAAAGAAAAATGGTAATTTTGTTTACAGATTGCTTTCCTAAAAAATGTACACCATTTTTATTGTCAAGTTACTCATTGATACAGTATAGTAATTGAATCGAAAACATTATACAGTATAAAACATTCTTTAACTTGCATATCTCCCATATTATTATCATCTCCATTTATATAGCGCCAACAGATTCCGTAGCGCTTTACAATATTATGAGAGGGATTTAACTATAAATAGGACAATTACAAGAAAACTTACAGGAACGATAGGTTGAAGAGGACACTGCTCAAAGAGCTTACAGTCTATAGGAGGTGGGGTATAAAACACATTAGGACAGGAAATAGCAATCAAATAAGGTGGGAGTGAAGCTGAGCTGGAGGAGAGGGTAGAGTGCTGCCCTTTAGGAGAGAGCAGGAGACAGGTATGTGAGGTAGAGGTTAGTCTGGGAGGCCATAAGCTTTCTAAAGAGATGATTTAATGCACTTCTTAAATGATTGAAGACAAGGGGAGAGTCTGATGGCACTAGGCAGGCTATTCCATAGCAAGGGAACCGCCCGCGAGAAGTCCTGCAAACGTGAGTTGGCCGTACGGATGCGAGCAGCAGACAGGAGAAGGTCACAGGCAGAGCGGAGAGAACGAGAAGGTGCATACCTATGGATCTTTGAAGAGATATAAGAGGGGCTAGAATTGTTCAGTGCTTTAAAGGTATGCGTTAGCACTTTGAATTGTCTCCTATAGGATACAGGAAGCAAATGTAAGGACTTATAGAGGGGTGAGGTGTGCGAGGACTGACTAGAGAGGAAAACCAGTCTGGCGGCAGCATTCATTACAGACTGTAGTGGGGCAATACGGCTTTTGGGAAGACCAACTAGGAGAGGGTTACAATAATCTATGCAGGAAATTATTAGAGCATGAACAAGCTCCTTGGTAGCATCTTGTGTAAGAAAAGGCCGGATGTGGGTTATTTTTTTAAGTTGGAATCTACAGGATTTGGCAACATATTGGATATGAGGCTCAAAGGTGAGGCCAGAGTCAAGTATGACGCCAAGACAGCGCGCATGCAAGGATGGACTTATGTGGATACCACTAACTTGAAGAGAGAGCAAAAGAGGAAGATCAGTATTAGGAGGAAGTTAGACAAGATGTTCTGTTTTGGAAAGATTAAGTTTAGAAAGCGGGAGGACATCCAGTCAGAGATGAAGAAAGGCAAGAAGTGACACATTGCAGGATGGCAGGGGAGAGGTCCGGGGAGGAGAGATCTATCTGGGTCTCATCAAGGTACAGGTGGTAGTGGAATCCAAAAGAGGTAATAAGTTTGCCAAGAAAGGCAGTATAAGAGAAAATAGAAGGCACCAAGGATAGAGCCTTGGGGGACTCCAGCCAAGACAGGAAGACACCGAATGAGTGTTGGGAGAGATAAGAGTGGACAGAGAGGACAGAGTCACAGAGACAAAAGTAAATGAAGAGTTTGAAGAAGGAGAGCATAACCAATGGTGTCAAAGGTCAGCACAGAGGTCAAGAAGAATTAGTATGGAGTAGTGGCCTTTGGATTTAGCAGTGATTAGGTCGTTAATAACTTTGATAAAAGCAGTCTCAGTAGAGTGGAGAGGGCAGAAGCCAGATTGAAGAGGGTCAAGAAGAGCGTTGGAATGGAGGAAGTGAGACACACGGGCAAAGACAAGTCTTTCCAGAAGCTTTGAGGAAAAAGGGAGCAGGGATATGGGACAATAGTTAGAGGAGGAGGACAGGTCAAGAGATTTTTTTTTTCAGGATAGGTATTTCAGTGGCATGTTTAAGGTCAGCCGGGACAATTCCAGAAGAGAGAGCAGTTGAAGATGTGTGTTAAGGAAGGCACAAGACAAGGGGAGAGAGATCTGATAAGGTGAGATTGGACAGGATTGAGCGGGCAAGTGGTGGGGCAAGAGGAAAGGAAAAGCGCAGCCACCTCTTGTTCAGTAACCGGGGAGAAAGTCTGAAGGGTAGGAAAGGCATGACCTGCATGTGGTTGAGAAAGAAAACAGCAAGGTGGGGAGAATTCTTTCCTTCAATCTTGTTGGTAAAGTATTTACATGTATGGATCTACACATCCAAAAGGAAGCCAATTTTATAGTTACAACATTTTAGTCATGCCTTTCTAGGATAATATAACTCACTATGTGACAATGCACTTCTTAGTAAACAGTCAGCATTGTATTTCATATTTTGTATTAGGTATGCAGCCTTGGTATTGGTTCAGAGACTGAACACACACAATCTAGGTGCGATAGTGTGTCTGAAAATGTAATAGCATGAAAACGGTTTAGGTACTCGAATTGACTGTAAATTAAAGCACCAATAATATAATTATCCTCTTTACTACCAAGCCCTTTTTGTTTGGAAAGAAAAATTTTAATTTTGTTTACAGATTGCTTTTCTAAAATTTACACCAAAGCTATCGGTTGTAAGGTTAGTTTGGGAGGTGGCCACAGCAGGGCGAAGAAGAGAGTTAAAGGTGTCAAAGAGATGCTTGGGATTGCGGGAGCATGAACTAATTAGAGAGGAAAATTATGACTGTTTGGAGAGGGCAAGGGCTGCGCTGTATTAATACAATATGAATCTATAATAGAGAAAGTCTGCCTGGATGCGAGACTTCCTCCAGGAGCGTTCAGCACAACGGGAACAACTTTGCAGGTAGCATGTTGATTTAGTATGCCACTGTTGGGGGCCTGTCCTCCTCGAGGTGGACATTCCTAGAGTCTGAAATGAAAGCATAAAAGCAAAAGTCTATTTTTCTTACATACAGTAGCTGTGACACCAATAGATAAATAATAAAAATGGTCAAATACTCTGCTCGTAGGGAATTGTAAGGACCTTGAATGTATAACTTGCAGTAGAAGTTACTGAAAAAGACAACAAAATGTGTCTGCATTAAAGGATCACTATAGTGCCAGGAAAACAAACATACTCGTTTTCCTGGCACTATAGTGCCCTGAGGGTGCCCCCACCCTCAGGGACCCCCTCCCGCCCGGCTCTGGAAAGGGGAAAGAGGTTTAAACTTACCTTTTTCCAGCGCTGGGCGGAGAGCTCTCTGCCTCCGATCCTCCTCCGTTCCGCCCCGCTGGCTGAATGCGCACGCGCGGCAAGAGCTGTGCGCGTATTCAGCCGGTCGCATAGGAAAGCATTTACAATGCTTTCCTATGGACGCTGGCGTGCTCTCACTGTGAAAAATCACAGTGAGAAGCACGCAAGCGCCTCTAGTGGCTGTCAATGAGACAGCCACTAGAGGAATTGGAGGAAGGCTTAACCCATTAATAAACATAGCAGTTTCTCTGGCACCCAGACCACTTCATTAAGCTGAAGTGGTCTGGGTGCCTAGAGTGGTCCTTTAAGCACAATGCCAACATTATGGTAAATAAAGTCAAAATTATATTATTAAAATAAACATTTTAAATTGTGCTACTGTAATTACTCTGAAATGCTAATGTAATGTAACGCTGACAGTGAAATTATCCATTTACCGTTACTCCCCTCCCTAACTAGGAATGGTAAGACCCATTAAAAAACGTACTTTATATTTGATAGTAGTGGATGAGATAACCTTTTTTAGCACACTTGCAGGAATTAAATGAGCAACTAGAATTTTCTAGGTGATTTTTTTCCTCTACAGGCTAGTAATCATTCTAGACTATAAGTTAGGCTTCATGGACTAACTTTCTTCTCCAACGTATAGGAAAGTAAAAATGTTTATACTCTATTCTTGAAATGAATGGATTAAGATCAAGGCCCATAACATAAACATAAAATCAGAACCTTTTTCCATCTGGAGAGAGTTCAAAGCCAATCTTAATATTTTTTCATACTAAACAATTAATATTTAATGAAGAAAACATTTGTTTTCATTTTTCCAGCAGTGAGGAAACATTACTGCACTATGCAACAATGAATTAGAAAACAACTACAAAACACTAATTTGGACTTCATACCACATTGCTCCAAGGAAATTACTAAATTTAAAGTGCATGTGGTACAAGTTCTTCAACTGAGGCACTGCTGCATGAATGAAATAATTGAGCTAGGATTTACAGAATTACAGAGTGTGTGACAGAGTACATATACAAAAGAAACAAAGAATTGGAGTATATTAGATACCAGAGGCATATCTACATTATATGGCACTTGCCTGAAACCCCCCAGAACTGTAATTTTGTTGTGTGCTACTCCATTCCTCTTTGTGTTTCTCCACACCCCTTCATCTGCTAGTGCATGTTGCCTGAATCATGTTGTGCCTCAGAAAACCCCCATATAACTTTGTTTACCTCTTAAGTTACCTTACATGTCTCATACCCCCTCTTGCGTGCCCACATTGTTTATATCTTAACCCTCCACCACCACATATTAGTTTTTTCTTTAGTGTAGCCATAGTAGAGGATTTTCAGAGCGAGAGAGCGAGAGAGCGAGAAAGAGAGCGAGAGCGAGAGAGCGCGAGAGCGAGAGAGCGCGAGAGCGAGAGCGCGAGAGCGAGAGCGCGAGAGCGAGAGCGCGAGAGCGAGAGCGCGAGAGCGCGAGAGCGCGAGAGCGAGAGCGAGAAAGAGAGCGAGAAAGAGAGAGAGAAAGATTTTTTTTACTACTCTTCACTTACTCATGCTTAAGAATGGAAACTTCAGAGAGATGTAGGGGAACAACACTGGTGTGGACTGGCTGACAGTGAAAACTGCTGCTGTAAACGCTGTGCTTTATCTTTGTATTTGTATATGATGTTTGTATCACACAGTTATGTTACATTGCTGCCAGCCACCCCATGTTTGTCTTAGAGTTTATAAGTATGTAGGGGCAGCACCCCTTCCTGTCTCAACTGAGAAATTTGCCTTTTAGCTGATACCAGCAAGGTGATTTATATGTGTTATAGCCTTATTTAGGGCTTATTTATAAAACACCCTCTCATATCTCAGAGAGCAGGCCCGGACTGGCCATCGGGCAAATGCCCGGTGGGCCGCAGTGGCCATGGGCCGAGGCCGGCAGGGGAGGTCACAGGACATCATGACAACCCCGATCTCGCGACCGTGAACTCTAGCCCTAGGCTAGAGTTCACTCACCCACTAGGACCACCAGGAATGGAGTGAGAGTGCCGCCCCCCTCCCAGATACCACCGTGCCGGCCCCCCCTCCCAGATACCACCGTGCCGGTCCCCTCCTCCCAGGCTAAAGGTAAGAAGGGAGGGGTGGGGAAATAATGCCTACTTATTTTATTTTTTACCACCCCCCACACACACACACAATCCCTTCTAACATTCACACACAGCACCCTCACACCCATCACCCTCACACACATCATAAACAGCACCCTCACACACAGCATCCATTACACACACATACTGCAACCTTCACATACCCACTAGATCCCTCACAGACACCCACTGCACCAAAAACACACACAATACTTCTGAACATATTTATATGAGATATATATATATATATATACACATATATACACACACACACACACACACACACACATATACATACATAGACACACATACTACAGTACCCCTCACACACATACTGCACTCCTAAACACATTACGTTCCAGACACACACTAGATCCCTTACCCAACTCTGGATCATACACACACACTAGAACCCTTTATACACTCTGAATCCTTATATACACACACTCACTAGATGTCCTACACATTCTGGGTCCTTCAAACACACGCTAGACTCCTGTATACATACACACTGCACCACCTACACACACACACACTACATTCCTAAAATACACACTCTGGATCCCTTATAAACACACTAGATTCATTGTAAACAAACACATATTACGCCCCTAAACACACACACTCTACAACCCCTACAAACACTACATCACCTATACACACACACACATTATAGCCTGTATGCACACACTTACTACATCCCCTATACACACACACACACTCACACTCACACACATTCTCTACAGCCCTTAGCCACATATGCATTACACCAAAAAAACAACTAAAACCGACCTTATTACACAATACCACACCTCAATCAGCTCACTCTACACACATGCAATCCCACAAGCAGGCTCCAAACTCATGCACACTACTCTTTCTTGGCCCTTGTGTCTCTATAAATGGATACCAGGAGACAACAGAGACAAGTTGCAAGGAAACACAGTGCAAACATGTTATACAATTTGCTTGCACTGTACAGAACAAATACAGGGCTTTTTTTTCTCATGCTAGAGCTCTTTAGCAAAGTTCTACGCATGGTCTGCACTGGAAGAGCATTGAACCAACATGCTCACTTTTAGAGGGGGCGTGTTTGTCATTGGTGATGACGAAACACACCCTCTCTGCCCCGCCCCCTTCTTAGTGGGCCGCTGTGATAAAAAAATGCCCAGGCCGAATTTTTCTCCCAGTCTAGCTCTGTTAGAGAGGTTTACACTTTGTCTGATACCAGCAAAGTTTATTGTATGTGTAGAAGCCCTATAAAGGATTTATAAAATACCCCTTGGTGTCGCATTGGAGATTCTAGGTTGATATCAGCAAATCTAATGACTAGTGTAGGACTCACCTTTCAGGGCTTGCCTTGACGTGGCAGATGAGCTTATATTCAAATGGCCATTGGAATACAACTAAAGAGCCTCCATTTTGTTTAAATGTACATGGGGATTTAGGCCATAGTGCAGGTAATGTTCTCTTTATTTTGACAATGAAATTAGTTAAGGTAAAGCGGACTTTGCGCACTATGAAAATGCTCTTGGTGCTTCAGTCTCTCCAACACTGTGGCATGTTCCCTTTCTTCACTATACAACAGGAGCTACTGCCTGCTAATAAGGTTAGGAGAGGAGTGGACCAGCGACTGCTAAGGGACAGTCCTTAGAAAGCATATAGAGTAATTGCATAATTAGACACATTTATGCCAAGCTCAGGGTGCTGTCTGCACAGTATGCCCTTGGTTGGTCATCCTGTATGATTTGTAGGCATTCTGACAAGCCTTCACACAATGCTGACCAGCTAATTCTTCTTGCAGACACGCCCCCTTTTTGGGCATGTTTCCCCTTTGGGCGGTTCTGTTACGTGATTCACATTAGTGGCCCACCCTTTTACTCGCCCACCAACATTCAGTTTCACCGTACACTGCTGTTAGGGGGTATGTATTTACTTGAAAGATGAAACCGAGAGATTAGCATAGGGTATACATTTTCTAATAGTTATATCCTGTATGTTTCCTTCCAGCACCACCTCCACCAGATACTTGAGGATTGGGAGGTAAAACTCCTTTAAATGTTTTCGTTGATAACATTCTGTAATTGGGCCCATCGTAATTGTCAGCACCAGGCCCAATGGGCTCTTAATCTGGCCCTGGAAATGATCTTCATGTTTTAACACCTTTCAAAGAAAGGTCTGCAGAATAATACCACTAAGAAAAAAAATCTAAGTGAAAGATTCATTCAAATCCTACTCCAGTTTCAGTATTTAATGTAGAAATAGTTTGTTTTATGGACAGGAGGACACCTTCATGATTATATAAATAATATTCTAGTACGTGTATTGGTTCACTGCTCCCCAAAGATACAGTTTGTTTGATGAATGTGGAGGGGGACACCAAATATATGCATGGTGTCTAATACTTTTTTCAATAGAACACTTCTTTTAAAGTTGCATAATATAAAGACCTACATACGTGTGGAATATGTCATGCTATGTATTTAGGGGCATCAGAAATAGGCATGTCTACTAATATAAATGTGCTGTTGGTATTCATCACTTTGGTTTCCCTGGAGGATAGCTGTCAAGGATACCATTAAGCTTAGTGTGCATGCATGTCAGTCTAATATGCTTTGTTGTATCAAGGTGGGGAGGAGGGGGTGGAGACAAAAGCAGAGCATGCATTTTTTAATATTGCTGCTCAAGTTACTCAAGTATGTATTGCAGTTAGCATGCTTCTCTCAATAGTTCAGATTATTGCACTTTGAAAAAAAGTGTTTAGCTTAAACATGGTGCGGTCATATTTTGTGACTAAATCCCCCTATTTGACAAGACACGCAATTTTCTTTTAGTAATTTCACAAGACAAAATGTAAAAAGTGTATTTTTGCATGTGCGCTGTTCCCCGAATCTGTATTTTGTGTCTATTAAGAGACAGCAAAGTGGGGCCTTTGATCGCACCTCTCTAAATTGTATACTTTCCAATGTTGAAAAAACACAAAAAAAAAATATATATATATTATACACACACACACACACACACACACACACACACACACACTTTAAATAAAATACTGGACACCTTTACAGAATATAGGAAAACCGAGTTAAAAACAATTGAATAATTAATACGATAGCAAATATATTTGGGGCCTTTAAGAAGCAATATATAGATTTAAAAAAAATGCTACAAATATTAGCTGAAATTTAGATATTAAAATGTTGGCGAATGTGAAATCTCCCCCAAAGTGTTCCTTGAAATGTTTGTCAAATGTTGGCAACTATAAATATGCAATCTAGTAATCATCATTTGAAGAAATTAGTTTGTATTTAGATATATCATAATTTTTAAGAGATACTTCAGGATTGGTTTACCACCCAAGATTCGATGCAGTAGAAAAGATAAAGCATTAAAAATATCAAAATGCTTGCTTCTAAATATCACTTTTGACCACTGATTTCCCCCCTCTTCCCTACTCCCCCCCCCCTCCCCATCCACAGTTTTTTGCAGTAGATCTAAAAGAAGGTAAAAACCAGTTTGAAGCACTTCCAATTTTGCAACAAACTAGGAAAAAAATTCCTTCTTGACCCCAGAATGGCAGTCAGATTTATCCTTGGATCAAGCAGTTATTACCCTACATTGAGAGATTATATCCTTGAATATTCTGTTTTTGCAAGTAAGCATCTAGTAGCTGTTTGAACATCTGTATGGACTCTGATAAAACCACTTCTTCAGGCAGAGAATTCCATATCCTTATTGCTTATCCATTTTCTTTGCCTTAGACGAAATCTTCATCTATCAGCATGTAAAAAGTGAAGGAAAGGAAGCATGGTATTCATATATATATATATTTATTTTTTTAAATGAATCTATACTATACATGCTATTGATCTTTCACTTTATGAGCTGCTGTTGCTTTAATAGCATGTAGAATCAAGTGACCTCAAGTTTAAAGAAGTCTGTCTAAGATATTGGCCTGCTGACCATTGTTCTAAATTAATGAATAACTAGCATTGAAATAATCTGCATTGTTCAAGTTAGAGGGTTTCACATGTGTCGAGTCAGGGTTTTAATGATTACTCCAATAATCAGAAGCACAATGAAACACATGATTCATGTGATGGATTATGCCGGAGGAGACCAGTAAATCACGGCTACTAGTTGGCAGCCTGAACACACAATCAGCGTTTGTAAAGAAGTACATAGACTACAGAGTGAGAGAATGGTGGATTGTAGCAGAAATACAGAAGAGAAAACCCTAATCCTCTATGACATATGATGGGATAATCTGCTCTGCCAGAGAAAGGATTAAAATTAAAAATGAGAGTAATCACAGTCCTGTCATAGGTCTCTTTTGCAGAATTACCAAGATCAAAATAGTTAACCAGAGGGACAATGCGTCTCAGGAGGGGACAGAAAGACAGGACAAGGGAGTCTATAGTAAGGCCCTAATTCAATAAAGCATCATCACTCATGGCCTGCGTTTTACAGGGTTATTCACAAAAGTGAGAATTCAAAATAATTCAAAGTGAATTTCAAATTGTACGCCAAAGTAGCTAAAGTGGAAGCTCAGCTGACCAGAATAAATTTCCAATTTTGTTATTTTGGCTTTGAATTTAAAATCCAATTTGAATTGAACCTTGAACTCTCACGGTAGTGAGTAATCCTGAGGGTGTATTGTGAACACAAGGTAAAATCTGCACTAAAGAAGAGCAGGTATCATTATAATAAAACACTGCTTAAACAATAGTGTTCACATTTAATGCCAGTGCTAATCCCTTAATGGTTAAATGCAAGACTAAATGTTAAATCCGGGACTGCAACACTGATAAGATCTGGAGAATCCTGGATAATCATCAATTATGCTAAACTATTACTAGGCTACAGCCAGGTATGCCTACTGGGATACGACACAACCAGCAGTAATACTAAATGGTTACAAAGATATATCCGGCAGTAATGCTATATGAATCTTACGCTAAAACCGGTAGGTATCCACATCAGGTCTACTTTATTTAGGGAATGGACATCTTGCTTTCACCCTGCTAGATAATAGAGGTAACAGTGGGAGTGACTTTAGGAGTGTGTGAGCAAAGATGTGATACAAACAGCATTATTCACTTTCCTCCCAATTTCTCCAACTCTGAAATAGTCACCATTTGTTTATTTTGTCCTCAGTTTTGCCATTCAGATTTTAGTTTAGTGAACAGCCCTGATAATCACTAGAGAATACCTGAAGCTAGATTAGCAGGATATATGTACATGCTTCAACATCAGCGTGAAAGGGTTAATGAAATGACTGCGCAAGACAAGGTTTCAGTTTGCTTCATATACAGCATGCATCTTCCAACTGTTTTTTTTTTGTTTGTTTTTTAACAAGTGGAAAATATCTGATCCAACTACTCTGCAAATAAATACATAAATAATAATAATTTAAAGAAATAAAACAAGTTTAGGAATGCATGTTACATCCATCATCATTTGGCTTCTGCTGTAATTCTCCATGCAAACATTTGTTTTTAGAATACTCATTTAAATTGTATATCTCGGTTTCATACCCAACCATTGTATTTTCCTTCTCATGCATATACACATACACAATTGGAGCCTTTGTTTTACAGCACACCTGGGCATGGGACAGAGAAGGCTAAAATCAGCCAGAAACAAACACACAGAAGTGTGTATGATTAGATGCAAGATAGTATTAGTAAAATACATTTAATAACTGAACCTCTCATACTACAGTCAACGGGGACAAAATGTTTTAACAACTTGACATAGTAATAAGAAACATTTTTTTCTCCTTAAAAATAACTATATAGTTTTCCTAGATGTATTCTACCACATTCCCAATATGTAGATTTCAAGGACTCTAAAAAGGAAAGAGGCACTTCTGGCACCATAACCACTATACACTGTTGTAGTGGTTATGCTGCTTAGATTCCACGCTAAAGGGTTAATTTAAACAATTTGACCCTTACATGGGTCCCCTGGGGTTATTATAGTCAGTTTTATTCTTAAAGCAAAAGTTCCCATTCCATTTTAGCAGAATCAATTAGAAGAGCTTAACAGACTGTGGCCGACAGCATAGGCGTACTGTAGTGTAGAATTGTTACATTTTTCTTATTTATTTGTACAGCTGTGTGTGTAAATGTGTACAAGTAGATTTGCAAAGTTTACAAAATGCTGACTTAACATAGAACAAAACCAATGTAATGTCACTTTACATGCATTGCCAATATTAAAAAGGAACGGTCACTTCCTCAATTTTAGGTGGAGGGGGGAGGGGTGGTTAGGAAATAATAGTCGAATAGCCAAAAGATAGTTATTGGTTTTGCTATAAGAACTTTAAAAAATTGGGTTTTTTAAAAATATTTTTTCTTTCCAGCAATGTATATAAAAGGAGTTAACGCTTGCAGTGCTATACGCATGTGTGCATTACTTCATTATATGCCGGAGGGTGGCAGCACGTCGCAGAGGAATCATGGGTTGGTAAAGTTGCCACAACAAAAATAGTAGCAGAAGTTATGGTTTTATTTTATTCAACTGCAACTGTAAATGCTGAAAGAGTGTTTAAATGTCATGATGACACACAGAACTGGTATCGCTATTAAGAAAAGAAAAGGATGGAGACAGGTTTTAGTAAATTAACTATCTTTTTTATTTAGTTGTATGAAAGAGAAAGAGTATCGGTACAAGATACAATTTAAAAAAAAATCTAAAACTACTTAACATAATAGAATATAAAAATAGACATGTTTCTAAAAGCCAACAGACTGAGTAGCCTCAAGGGAAACAGGGAAACCAACTCCTACTGAATCTGATAGTACCTGCTCCTGGCAATGGCTCAACTGCAAAATTTTGGACCTGGAGATGTATTCGGTAGACTGCTATTCTCTAAAACTTAGTTTCAGGATCCAGCCTAGTATCACATACTGTGGGGCTGTGTGCTGAGCGAATCCACGCAACCCTTGTATGGTAAAAGCAAACATAAAATCCACTGTTGGAAATACATCGTCCAGTTTCTCTTGGAGGTACTAAGCACCAACACAACTTTGCATGACTGCAACGTTGCAGGAGTAATAAGTACCCTACACAAACTCTCAGCTCAGAGTGTAGATTTGAACTGCAATTATTTGTATATAGACTGTAGATGCAGATCTAAACACCCCCTCACCTCACTTAATATCAAGTTTGTCCAAGTTGGGCACACAATGTCCTCCCAGGAGAAAGAGCCAAGCCGCAGAGCGTGTATGCACAGACCACATCCAAATCTGATAGACTGGGGGGAAATGAACAGTCTGTTCACAATTTCATAAGAAAATAAGTTATTATTCAATCTGAACAATACATTAATAAAATCGACCTCGCATTTCCCAACATTATTATAATAAATTAATTGTGGATGTTGCTTAATTATTATTGAGTAAACGGCAATATGAGAGGAAAAGTACATTTCCCAACACCATGTCCAGTTGACATACAACCATCATTATTTCACACAAGTTGGAATCAGTTACAGTACCATCTGCAGAATACATGCCAGCAAAGGTTTTAGTTTGTTACTAATCTGCTTAACATCCATTGTAGATTCCTGTGTTCTAGAATATATTGTTCCTAATATACTATTCTATTGTCCTCAATGCATGGCATTGAATATGACAAGTATTAACAAATAAAATCCACACACTCTAATCATTCAAGCATTGTTCATCACAATAAGATGATTCTTCAGAAGGGATTTGCTTGACTTGCTTTGTTTTGTAAGCTTCAAAAAGATCAAACAAAGGGTCATGAGGAACTGTCAGTAATGAATAGGTTGTTCCCAATTTCAGTTTTAAAGGGACAGTAAGCACCGAGATCGGCTAATCTTAAATTCTTTGAGACACAGATGATTCCCCCCCTGAAGCCTAGTAAACTAAAAGATTGCTATATATGTGAAATGGTACAATTTATGTTTTGTAATCCCCATTCCTCTAGTTGTAGTCATTCAGAAAGCCATGAGGGACTAACTAAAATTGAATATAAAAATAATTTAATCTTTTTCACGTCTCGTGTCATCATGCAAAGTATGCTGACACAGGACTTTGGAGTTCATTCAGTGACGCTCTGAGACGCATTTGAGATAAGCCATCAGTCTTGATTTCAGCCATCAGTCTTGATTTCAGCAAGTTTGTCCCAGCATTGGTATAAACATGCTCATCAAAGATGGTTGCCATATGTGCCAGAGAAGGGCAATTTAGATTTGTGTGCTATTAACGTTGGGAACAATTTCTGGAGTTATACAGGTTTTTGACAAAACTATTCTCAATTACAAGATACAAAGTACTTCAATTCTTAAAAAAAGTAAAGGATTTTCCGCTCTACGTAGAAAGTTTTTCAAATCATGCCAGGGTTAATTGTTAGAATGTTGTGGTTATCTAGGAAACATAATAGTCAAAGTATGTCAGGCAAATGCATTCTAAAAAAATAAGCCATGCACTTTTAGAGAATCAAAATTAATTTTCCATGTTTTTGTAATGGAACTGACATGCTATCATAAACAGCTCCTTGATATCAGACCTGAAATGCTCCCAAATCAGTTACTTGGGGATCTCCAATATATTAAAATCCAATATTTCTTCTAACAGAGCAAAAAGGTGGTCCCAGCACTACCCTATTCATCAACCGATGCCAGTTTTCCACTTTTGAAAAGATTCTCTCTTTACTCGATTACTTCTTAGCATTTAATAAACTAAAATATGCAATGAACAGGCGGACAAAATGTCACAATTGTAATAAATTATACTTTTGGACAAAGAGTGAAGAAATATTTATTACCTTGAACTCTCACAAAAGCACATTTATGCTTTTTTCTGCAAGTCTTTCAGATGAAAAGTATACACACAAACCTTCATGTTTCTGCAGAAGCATTCATTGGAAAGTTATTGTGAGCATGTTGTGGGTTCCTAGTTTTAGAAAAAAATGGGGTCTGTCCACCATGAGCTGGAAATGGAGTCAGCTACATAAAAAGGTCAGGAGGTGCCTAGGGCCGCCTATCAAAAATCACAACATTTCAACAGTGTGAAGTGTAATAAATAAATAAATACAATTGAGCACACTTCAAATAGAGCAGTAATTTTGGCCCACATTATTTGAAGTTTAGTTTCCTACAATTTAAATGTTTATTTAATATCCTGAAAGAGGAGTACAAATATCCCTTGTTACATTTCATATGTGTTCATGTAAATTCTTAGTGTATTATGCATGTACATGTCTATTAATATGTGTATTATAATCATGTTTACATGTGTACATATTATAAACATAATTTATAACATGATGTTCATAATACACTCATTCATATACCAATATATTAATATATATACAAATGCATACCCCCTCCCTCGCGCCCCCCACCTCCCGCTGTGCTGAAGGGGTTAAAACCTGTTCAGTCACTTCCCTAAATCCAGCGCTAAGGTTCCTCGGTGCTGGATCAGGCTCTGTCCACGCTCCTCCACTACTGACGTCAGCTGGCGGGGGAGACCTATGCGCATGCGAGGCAACGGCCGCACTCGCATTAGAATTTCCCCATAGGAAAGCATTATTCAATGCTTTCCTATGGAAAAAAAAAAAATCTGGCTCTGGAGGTCTTCATGCAGAGCATGAGGATGTCCTGCGTCAGATAACAGACCAAAGGTCAGTTTAGATTCCAGAAGTTCCTTTAGTTGCTGTCTGGTAGACAGCTACTAGAGGAGGAGTTAACCCTCAGAGATAATTATTGTAGTTTCTCAGAAACTGCAATATATTACCACTGTAGGGTTAAAGGACATGGGGCATTGCACCCAGACCACTTGAATGAGCAGCAGTGGTCTGGGTGCCTACAGTATCCCTTTAAACACACACACACCCACATATCTCTCAAAGGTTGTTCTAAAAAATGGATGTACACCTTGACACAAGCTCACTAACATTCCATTTCTCTTACTTATATACACAAACACTCACACTCACATACACTGATTAACACAAACTGTTATACACTGACACACAGGCCTCATATTTAGATCCCTGGGAACTGTCCCCAACAAGCATAGGGAGAACGCATCATTAGACACACTTGCAGTATGCTCAGTGCACTAGGACCATGTAGCAGAGAGTACTGAAACAGTGTTCCATGGTGGATCTGCCCTCGGTAGGTTGGCCTGGATGATGAACAGGCAGTCTGGTGTGCATTCACGCCAGGCTGAACTGCCATTAATGCAATTGCATTACTAGCCCACCCCTTTATCTCACTATTAATTAGTCCTAAAAGTTCACTCTTGTGTGCAGTTTTCAACTAATGACATGATATAGTGAAATTATATATACAGATACATATACACACACACCACGCACACACTGAAATCAATAAATACACTGTGCTCAGTACCACAAAATATAATGTAGAAAAATACCAGCACTCCAGAATTCTTCTTTACTTTCAATGTTTCAGTTCATAACATGAACTTTTAATCAGGACATCAACCTTTTTTAGAATCCTAGAGTGCATTTATTTTTATTACATTATATATAAATAATAAAATGGTTTGACAAAAATCAGAAAGCACACTTTCAACATAATGCGTACAGTAAGCAGCTAAAATGCCTCCTCATTTGAGATTTCATCATCCTGCTGTAGGATACATAGGTCCATAGCCTCAGGACTAAGGAGTGGCAAACCCGAAGCAAAAACTTAAACATGGAAAACAGCGGAGCTAGTGCTCGGATAGTGCCGAGAGTGACCTCCCCTGCTGGCCTCGGCCCATGGTACATGGTCTGTCATGAAATGTTAAAAGAAAGTAAGGTGTGTGGACATAGTTATGAGCAGGTGACACTTTCAAAAAAGGTTTTGGTGGTGCCGTGGGCCCAGAAGAAGGCTGGATGTGAGGCTTTAGTCTAAGTGCAGTGAAATTATTAATTTATGTTGAGCTGAAATTATAATAATATATCAGCCTTGTATATTGCAAGGATGGCACATATGTAGTTTGGTACATTACCATCTTTGCTCCTCCCTCTTCAAAGAAGACACTACCCATACACCCTCCTATTCTAAGAAGATCACACCTACTACATCCCCCTTGATAAATATTAGAGCTATGATTTGTTATATGCTTTCAATATTCTGTTTGCACAAGCTTGTTTATGATGTTAGTTAATAGTTGTCCATATTTGATTGGTAATTAATGATACTTCCCCTATACTCCCCTTTATTGCGTGCTCTAATAAAACCTTTGTTCTGTTTAATAAACAGCAGACATTTTTCTGAATCGACTCCTTTGTATGGTCTCTTAAGAGAGTGTCTCTAAGTACTTGGGGTGTTGCACGGTCTGGATAGTACTATACTTGAAAGGCCTCAGCTGAGGTCTGGTGATCACTAGGAGTATGTTCCAACAAGCAGTAAGGGTTAAATAAAAAAAACTTGCCGCACTACCCCATTATGTTTAAACTTACTATTCTTAGGTAACATTTGTAAGTAATGTAAAATGGTTGAAAACAAAAGTTATAGATTTCTTTAAAATGTAACCCCTTAACGACAGTCTGTAATGCTCGTTGACGGCATAGACTGTCATGCATTAAAAGTTACAGTCTCCAGGCCTATTGCAGGTTTATCTAGACACTATTATAAACTACTACATCTTAGAACATTGGGTGATGTATTGCTGTAGGTTGGTTAAAAGTGTACCCATCTTTAATGAGAGAGGTTATTTAAAATATAGAGGAAAACAAAAAATGGGCCTGTTACTCCAGCCACAGACAGAAGATCCGGTACCTACACAAAGAGCTGCTGAGCGAGGGGCCATCCCCAAACGAGACTTTAAAATTACACCTTGAAGCACTACCAAAAAGCTATAGTCGTGGCTTGGAGCCCAAGCCCCTGACCACACAGTTCTGGAACTGCTCACTGTATATTTGTTGCTGTTAACTATGACTCTGTAGAACAGTTAGTGGTCACCCAGCCATCTGAGACATGTGAACAAATAAGAGACGTTTCGATATGGGATTATACCTCTACGTTCACTGTATGCACCCATATTTGTTATTTCCCCAGTATATTCTTTATCGCATAAAATGGAAAAGTTGTATAACTTTGTGAACAACTTAATGTAATACAAATTAAAAAAAATTTAAAAAAAGGAGAGGAAAACTTCTCTTTTTCAAACGTTTAGGATCCTTAGCGGGCTTATGTGAGAGATGGAATTTGAGCTGATTGAATATTCATTCATAGAATTTATACCTTTGGGCTAATATGCCACAGCACTCCCCCCTCCCTCCCCATCTACTTTCACTATACATTGTAGGGTTTGGGTTTTTTTGTGCTATTTTTTTTTTAGTATTTTTATTAAAAGATAAATCTTTGAGGACTGCTCTACAGCAACACATTTTGTTAATAGAGAGTTTGTTTATATATCAAGTTATCAGTTTGTTGTCACTCTCTTGTCTCGTGTACATATTGTCTCCTCCCATTAATAAAGATTTTTTATTTTATTTAAAAGTACCAACAGGTCTAAAACCCTGATGGTACCAAGAAGCCCCAGCTATCAGTGGATACCCAAGTTTCCTCTGTCAGATGGTGCCACAGTTAGTGGCCTTAATCTCACAGATGAGTTATGTGCACATTGTCATTTAAAATCACCATGGCTGAGCATTTGCGCTATAATAAACTGATTCTGAGTCTGTCCCCTGTATGAAGAAGACCCCCAGGATCTGCCCTGCAACAATCACAGATTCAGGAGCTTCAGCACAAGAGGAAGTCCACACAATACAGAGTGCTCACAGAGAGAATCCCTCATAAATAGGATTAGGGTGGGGGGGATTAGCAGCAGGATTAGAAATGTATTGGTCAATGGTATACATGTGGGGTATTTTTGTACTCCAAAACCCTAGAAGAATACAAAAATGGGGTGTTTATACTAGTGAGATACACGTGGTCTGTGATTTCCCACAAAATAAAAACATGTGTGAAAAAAAATATTTTGACCTAGGTTCGTGATAAAATAATCTAATGATATATGTCAAAATGCTCTTATTTAAATAGCCTGTATGTACGTTCTACAAAGATATACTTTTGTGTATCACTTTTAGATTGTGTCCATTATAAAAATAATCTAAAAACATGCCAAATTTTGCTCAGTTTTAGCTTTTAAATAGTAATTCACTCTTTGCTGTCTCAGTTTTATAACCTATAATATAATTAATTATAGACATGTTGGCCTTTTAACAATTAGGACTAATTAATTAGTGAATCAACTTTGAGTTAAGGTTTACTTATTTGTATAGAAATTGTTAAATGTAAAACGTTTTCAAAGTTTAAAAAAAATTTTTTTTTTAATTCATATTAATATTGTGTTATACATACATGTAGAGTGTCAAAATGAAGCCCTACTTTCCCTATAAAAAAATAAAAAATTTAAAAAGGGTATATAATATGTATGGGTTCATTCAAAAAGAAAGGAAGAAATTGTTTTAGAATGAACACAACAAATGTGCCAAAAATCACAATCTCAAAAGAGCTTTGGACCTGAAGAGGTTAAGTTAAGACCTCCGGATAGACCTGGTTATTAATCATGAATTTTATTTTGTCTGCAGTAAATACAAAGTGCAATGTAGGAGGATAGTGTAGATGTCATTTAGGAGCAGAATGTGTGCAGAAAGACTCCTTCACCTTAAACTGTTACTTTCCCAATCAACATGCTATCATGACCACAACAGAAACTTTACTATTTTAAGAATTAACCTGCAACACGGAGTCTGCACCTGACAGTAAAAATTGTGTTTATTTGTAATGGATCAGAAGGAATGCAGGTTAGATGACTGGAAGACCAGCAGTTAGTTTGTGGCAACATGCCAATCATGAATACCTGAATGAACACTGAGGAAAACAAGCATGCCTACACATACAGTAGAATCACCTTTGAACAGGCTTCCAAGGGCTTCAGAATCATAGCTTTGTATGGAACTCAAAATGCTAATCATTTCTGCCTGTAACCGTAAGAGTGACTAATTTATCAAACTTTAAACTGAACTGGATTAATGGAGAGAGAGAGATAAAAAGGAAACGTGTTCCCATGAAGAAAGTTGTTTTTATTAACTAGATGTCTGTAGCCAAATGCATTTAGGAGCAATTGTAAAATGTGTACCACTGGAAATTGCTACTTTAACAAAGCAGCAATTCATATTTATCCAAGGGTTTGGCAAGCAGACACTACTGGCCCAAGTTCTAGGGGACGAGCAAATCTAATTAGTACTTTGGACACATATAAAAGGCCATGGCACAAACAGCAATGTCCTGAATTTGGCAATCAGTATGAGCTTTAGACAAGCACTGTCGGGCACAGTTGAGGAGTTCACAGACGTAGCTCTGAAGCCAAAATGTAATCATTAGTTAAGGAAAGAATTGTAACTATACAACAGTCATGGATTTAAAGAAAAAAAAAAAACCCGTAATATGTAAAGATCGTACAAAAAGTTTTTCTTGTCATGTCTTGTACAACATCTCCCTGCATGCTTGACTGAGCAACATTGGAATTGTATTACAGCAATTGTTACCCCTAACAATGTGCTAAAGTGCTAGAATGTTGCAAATGAGAAGAATATATTTGCAAAAAGTTCTTTAATCAAAGCCACCTCTACAAATAATGCTTGGTATTTCTTCATTAAACAATTTGAAAAAGTATTTAATAAGGAAGCCTATAAAATGGGTTTATAAAACAGCTGCTTTGTTGTCTTGAGCTTTTTTGAATCATTTGAGATAAGCATTCACACAACATAATACACCAGGGTATTGTTACTAGTCGTGCGTTATTTCTAAAAGAAGGTTTTTTTGAGAGCTTTCTCTCATACTTGTCACACTGGGAACACAACAATATGAAAATAAATAATTATCCATTGATGTCATGTCATGTGTCCTTAAGGGGTTAAACATGGCCAATTTGTCATCAATAATATCTGGCACAACCTTTTTTTAATAGTTTTAGTCAGCATGCCAGCAGATGTCCATATTACTGGTTTCTAATTGTTAGATACAGTTGCAAGAAAAAGTATGTGAACCCTTTGGAATGATATGGATTTCTACACAAATTGGTCATAAAATGTGATCTGATCATCATCATCATCTAAGTCACAACAATAGACAATCACAGTCTGCTTAAACTAATAACACACAAAGAATGAAATGTTGCCATTATTTTATTGAACACACCATGTAAACATTCACAGTGCAGGTGGAAAAAATAGGTGACCCCTTGGATTTAATAACTGGTTGAACCTCCGTTGGTAGCAATAACTTCAACCAAACGTTTCCTGTAGTGGCAGATCAGACGTGCACAACGGTCAGGAGTAATTCTTGACCATTCCTCTTTACAGAACGGTTTCAGTTCAGCAATATTCTTGGGATGTCTGGTGTGAATCGCTTTCTTGAGGTTATGCCACAGCATCTCAAATCAGGTTGAGGTCAGGACTCTGACTGGGCCACTTCAGAAGGCGTATTTTCTTCTGTTTAAGCCATTCTGTTGTTGATTTACGTCTATGCTTTGAGTCATTGGCCTGTTGCAACACCCATCTTCTGTTGAGCTTCAGCTGGTAGACAAATGGCTTTAAGTTCTCCTGCAAAATGTCTTGATCAACTTGGGAATTCATTTTTCCTTCGATGATAGCAATCCATCCAGACCCGGACGCAGCAAAGCAGCCCCAAACAATGATGCCCCCACCACCATACTTCACAGTTGGGATGAGGTTTTGATGTTGGTGTGCTGTGCTGTGCCTTTTTTTCGCCACACAGTGTTGTGTGTTTCTTCCAAATAACTCAACTTTGGTTTCATCTGTCCACATAATATTTTGCCAGTACTGCTGTGGAACATCCAGGTGCTCTTGTGCAAACTGTAAACGTGCAGCAATGTTTTGTTCGGACAGCAGTGGCTTCCTCTGTGGTATCCTCCCATGAAATCCATTCTTGTTTAGTGTTTTACATATTGTAGATTTGCTAACAGGGATGTTAGCATTTGCCAGTGACTTTTGTAAGTCTTTAGCTGACACGCTGTCACACTTCTTCACCTCATTGAGCCGTCTGCGATGTGCTCTTGCAGTCATCTTTACAGGACGGCCACTCCTATAGAGAGTAGCAGCAGTGCTGAACTTTCTCCACATATAGACAATTTGTCTTACCGTGTACTGATGAACAGCAAGGCTTTTGGAGATACTTTTTACAGCTTTATGAAAGTTAACAATTCTTAATCGTAGGTCTTCTCAGAGCTCTTTTGTGCGAGGCATCATTCACATCAGGCAATGCTTCTTGTGAAAAGCAAACCCAGAACTGGTGTGTGTTTTTTATAGAGCAGGGCAGCTGTAACCAACACCTCCAATCTCATCTCATTGATTGGACTCCAGTTGGCTGACATCTCACTCCAATTAGATCTTGGAGATGCCATTAGTCCAGGGGTTCACATACTTTTTCCACCTGCACTGTGAATGCTTACATGGTGTGTTCAATAAAAACATGGCAACATTTCATTCTTTGTGAGTTATTAGTTTAAGCAGACTGTGATTGTCTATTGTTGTGACTTAGATGATGATCAGATCACATTTTATGACCAATTTGTGCAGATATCCATATCATTCCAAAGGGTTCACATATTTTTTCTTGCAACTTTACTTGTCTTTGTTGGTCTGTTTAGATTTCAGGGTCCTCCTATTTTCATTACAAAAAGCTTTATAGTAACCTATTACTCACTTGTAATCCAGTGCCAAGACAGCCTCTTTTGAGCAACCCAGGTCACCTACACTGATTTCATCATGCTTAGTTAACATTTTGTCCAATCCAAAATTTCTTATTGAGAAGTATTGTGGACTTAATGTGTATGCACAGCAATCGCTGCAATGTCTCAATCAGTGCTTCTAGCAGTTAAAAATCTAATAAGACTCAGTTCTCACTTAACCACTAAGGGTGCATTTCACCCCACAATAAAAACATTGCTGTATGCCAAAAAACAGCAATTTTTTACATTGTGGTAGAAAAACTGCAGGGCCACTGCACCCAGACCACTTCATTGTGATGAAGTGTTCTGGGTGATTACATTGGTGCCTTAAACTACAATAGATACATCATTACACAAGAACTGTTTAATGGCTTACCCAACTGCCTGTGAGTCCATGTGGCAGGTTAGTGTGGGGGTTAAAGTTATGTTGTAATTCTACGTAATTCTTATTGCAGTTCCATAAGCAGCTGCATTTTACAAGGTTTACTGAAGGCAGCTAGTTTTGTAAAATAGCCCTTTAGGTAAGGTCTAGTTTTGATCAAAATATTTCTAGAGCAGTTTCAGAGGATGCATTTTCTGCAAAATACCTAGTCATACCTCCCAACTCTGGCATCCTGTGAAACAGGACACTAATTGGACAGTCTGCCAGAAGAATTGACAGACCAGCATGGCCAGGCTACCTACCAGTCACCCATGCCAGCCACTAGTGTGAGTATCATTGTTGGGGACACCAGGGACATAACCCAAAAATCAGCACTGTCCCACCGAAATCAATACAGTTGGGAGGCTTGCAGTATGAACCAGCCTTAGATGATAGTACAAGGCAATATTTAGTTGCCACAACCAGAAGGTTGTACAATTCTTCTCACTATTCCAAAACCAGATATTATATTTTTTCATGGCTCCAATAACTGGTAGGCAGATATGAGAGACAAAGAAAAGATCAATGCTTGAATAGGTTTCAAGATCTAGGTAAAGGGTGCAGTCATTCAAGTTGTATTGACTTGTTTTTCACTGTCAAAGTTTTGTTATCCCCTTTACACAATGTAACCATTGTGGAGAATTTGCCCAGATCTCTGGTCACCAAGGCCAAATATTTGGGGATACCAATTTTAGGAACACAGTTGTACAGTTAAATATTTTGTGACTAATCTTAGCGATTTTTTTTATTTTTATTAAAACATACTGTACCTTGAAACTAAGATGTAGAACACAACACTGATCAGGGATCTCACTTTACTAATCTTAATACATAAATAAAACGTGGAGCTTGGATTCAAGCAACATTTTAATATGCCAAATGAAAGTTATAGCACAGAACAAACAAAACACTGCAAACAATAAAAATACTTTCTGTAAGGAAACAAAGTACACATTACTTTAAATAAAACAGAGGTCAAAGTAAGACTACAGAGACGATTGGGCACACACAGAGGCAATTAATTACAAAGGTATTGATCAAGTTTACATTTTAGAATAACAGAGCCCAAGAAAGCACAGCTGGAAAAGAGGCACAGTAGACTTGTAGAATCGTTTTCAATTCTCCTGCAAAAACCCCAAATGAAAACCACCATATCTCCTAATCCTTAAAACAACATAAAAACGGTCAATGGCGATTTGCTTAGGGATTTTGGATATAAAATGACCCCCATATTGACCCAAAAGGTTTTTTGTTTAAAACCATTTAATGTAGTTTGGTAATGTGTGCTTGCTAGCCAGCTGCCACATGATTAACTATCATGCCATCAAGGCATCTGGTTCAACCAAATTCTGGTTTTCCCTTTGGGCCGGCAACACATCCTGGGTCCCTAACAAAATTGTTAATTGTGGCATTACACACTTCTCTTCAATCCTAGTCGACCTACTCCTGCCGCGCGTTCCATTCGCTCTGTGACCGCCCAGCTCACTAAGGAAGACTCAACTCCGTTGATCCTAGCCAACCCCCTCCTGGCGCACAGTCTGATTGAACTACGCGGCAGGATAGATAGATTATATATATATATATATATATATATATATATATATTATATACACACACACACACACACACACACATATATACATACATACATACACACACACACATACATATATATCTCCATATACACATACACACACACAGACACGATGTCACGCCCGCCACGTCATCACTGTGATCCAAAATAGATTAGGATCCCAATGATGACGTGGACCAATCAGAACATAGGTAAGCCTATTTAAGACTTGTTTTAGCCCCCATTCATTGACCTATTGTTAGAACCTCGTTTAGCACTCCTAGTGATTCTCCTGATTTCCTGTGTTTCTTATTTGATTCGTGATTTCTGGAATCCTAATCTCGGCTTTGTATTTGACTCGTGACTTCTGGTATCCTGACCCCGGCTTTGTCTTTGGCATTCCTGTTATTCCAGTCCTTGATGTATTCTTGACCCTGGTGTTGTTTAGTTACGTTAAGTCCGGCCATTCTTAGGCTTGGTAATGCGTCTTTTGGATCCACCTTTTGTGGTTTCCTCTTTCCTGCGTGTTGGGTTACGACTCCCGTGACATCAATTTGAAAACTTTTGTTTGGAAGATCCGAAAAATCTTGCGGTCTACAATTGTACTAGACAACTTTGGTGCAACACTATCTAAAAAAAGTGCACTTTATGTAAAACTACAATTCATTACATTGTATATGGTGCAAGGGATCATTAGGTGATATTACTCCATTTTTGAGTGGTAAGGGGAAAAAAAAAAAAAAAAGTAGGGGCTCTTCTGGCATCCAAAGAATGTCTTCTCTGCCAAAAATGAAGACATTTAAATTCTACATTATAAATCTAAAACATCCAGCACTGATGGATGGATAAAGTGAAAAAGTGAAATTTCCACATTATCTGTGTGCATGCAGAGGCTATCTTTGGGTGTAAGAAATTTTTTTTATGTGCAAAATAGTCTGACAAAAACTAGCAGATGGGTACCCGTGTTGTGTACCATAAGCACTTCAAAAAGCTGTATTCGGTATGGTTCTTAGAGAGTGTCCATTAAGACTATGATCTTCTGCCCTCTTGTCATGGCCAATTCTATGTATATTTCAAAAGCAATAGAGATATGGTTCTCAGTGCCATTTTATAGATTATAGATTGTAAATGAGAAAAGAGCATTTGATACTTATGATACGGTCCTCTGGAATAATTGTATAATGTAGGCCTTCTCAACGATTATTAGCAAGAAATTTGAATAAGGTGTCTGTTTGGAGGTGGCAGCTTTTTCTACAAACCTATAAACTATGCGGTTAGTTTTTATTTCATTGATACTAAATTATGTATTAATGAAAATGGCTCCAAAAACACACTATAAAAAACAGAGACTGGCATGACTGTTCAGTGTAAAGAACGCTCAAGCTCTGACAATATCTAGAAAAAAAAAACATTTGGAACTCATTAAATTACTTCAACTGTGTCTGGAAATATCGGATTCCAAACTATTTGGCACCTAACAACTATAAATGTGCCAATCTAGCTCATCTTTTTTGCGGGTGACATAAATTGCTTCACTGCACTTCTATAATATGAAAGAGTCTTGTAATAAAATATTTAGTGGCTCTCTGAAAAATATATGATAGATTTCACATTTTCTCAAAAAGGTACACACTGCCTAAATGATCTGATTTCATTTTCTGTAAATTATGCAAGAATACAGAATAAAAGTGAATAGACTCATGCAGTTCCAAACAAAACTGGCAATGGTTTACAAAACACTTTTGTTTTATCTGGTACAAATTTTAAAACAAACAGACACTAAGAACCAAAAAAAAAAAATCACTAGATGTTTATATAGTGGTTTTGATGCTTGCCCTTTTTGGAGTATTCAAGGTTTACCTCTAATAGTGATAAGGCAGACAGCCTCTAGAAACACTTCCTCCTTATAGGGACACTAAAGTCACCAGAACAACTACAGCTTAACGTAGTGGTTTTGGGGTCTACTGCCTATCCCTCTAGGCTTTTTATTGTAAACACTGCCTAGTAACACCTCTAGTAAGGCCACTAGAGCTTCTTCCTGGGTCAGTGCTGCACATTGCTAGGTGATGCTGATTGGTGTGTGCCAACCCTGAGGGGGAATATCCAGTGACTCAATAAAGCACATTCTAGATAATAAACTGGTAAAGTGGAAATGTTATAATTAATACAAATGGTGTCCATTTTTTTAATTGGCAGTTACTTTTAACAGTCATTTGTGAAGTTTTGGTTTGTGGAAACCACAACAGATTAAAATGTGCACCAGCAGCTCCTAAGTATTGATGCTTGGCCATGAAATCACAAAAGGTACGGTAGCCATACTGATACATACACTACTTAGGGGGGCAACATTGTACATTTTCCATAAGTATCTGACCACTTGTTCTTTACAAAGTGCTAAAGGGACACTATAGCACACAGACCACTACATCTCATTGAAGTGGTCTGGGTGCAAAGGCCCTGTCCCACTTTGTCCACGAAACTGCAATAATTACATTGCAGGACTAAGACTGCCTCCAGTGACTGACAGGCACTTCCTGGATTCTAATGGAGTTTGACTCTGAAACGATGCTGGACATCCACACACTCTGCATAAGGACATCCAGCATCAGTGAAAACCCCATAGGAAAGAAACATTTAAGAAATGCTTTCCTATGTCCTATGGGGAGGTGCTAATGCGCAGTTGGTGCTCGCTACACATACGCATTAGATCCTCCCATTGGATGACATCAGAGGATGCAAACCGTGATTCAGTGCCGAGGGACATTGCACTGGAATCTGGTAAGTGACTATGTGTTTGTTTTTTAACTCTTTATGTGCTACAGGGGAGGAAAAGGAGGGCTGCAAGGGAGGAGGGACCAGAGGGCAATATAGTGTTAGGAATACATAATTGTATTCCTAACACTATAAAATCCCTTTAACATTTTTATTGGAAAGCCCCTTGTTTTGAGGTTTTTTTTAAACTATCACAAATTATTAACATCAATAGCTTCCTCTAATTAAGGGTTAAGCAAACAAAAAGTCCTTATTTCATCCAGGTTACCAGTCAGTCATCCAAATCTGATTCACCTAAAGTTTGATCTCTAGGCGTGCTCACCAAGCACCACATATAAACACAGTTCCCACATTACATCCCCACCTAGTTCCGTATCGGTTATGAATGTGTAGGGAAGGCAGTGACACATGGAAATTATCACTGCAAATAGTTACCCTGGCAAGTCCAAAAATGAATGGCAGAGAGCAAACACAGGTGAACCTTCCTACCGCCCTTCAGCTGTTGGCACAGGCATCCTGCACTTAGCTACTCAAACTGAATTTAAAGCATATCAACTTCTCAAAAGACTTGCTGTGAATTTCCACAAACAATGCCAAGGCTGATTCCGAACACCACATGATATATGGCATACATATGGAAGCCAAATGTTTCTTTCAAAATGAGAAATAGAGATTATATATAATTAAATCATGCATATGTCCACATTAATATACACACACACACACACACACACACACACACGATTTATATCCCAGATACAATAATAGAAAAATGCTGATAAAAATCATACATGACAAAACATAAGGGACATCTACAAAAATATGCAGGGCATGGCCCAGATTGAATGGGGGTGGACTGGACATGAGCCAAATTTAAGCAATAATTGACAGAGCAACTGAAAATCGAAACAAAGCAAACAAATACCCAGATACAAACGATTGCTTCAGTGTGCAGCTATTTAATGTTTTATCCACTGTTACTTTGCAGTTTTAATTATTTTTAATAAAATAAATAATAATAATAATAATAATAATAATAATAATAATAATCTTTCTTTCCTCCATTCCCCCCCCCTCCCCAAGTTATCCCTGTTTCTCTTATTTATTTTCAATTTTCCTTTGTTTTTTGCACAAGAAGAAAAAAAAAATGGGAATGTCTTTTTTTTCCATAGCACATTCTCAGTGGTAATAGGCATACATTAAGCAAAGTTCCTTTCAAATTGCCAAGGTAATTCGTAACAATTTATCAGTCAAACTAATCCCACAGAAGGGAAAACTGCAGACATCAAAACAATTGCAGCACGCAGATAATGGGATCCAGAGCAAGGAAGAAAAGATAATAAATAAAAATACAGGCAAGGGGTTAGATTAATCATTAAAATACAACAGGTACACAGGAAGGACTTAAAAACTAAACTGCAAAATTGTGGCTACAATATCAAAACCATAACTTAAAATCAACATGTTTACTTCCACCAAATTATGACTCTTAGAATTCAATTTGGAGTAATTCAGAGTTAAGTGAATAGACCCCACAGTCTATATATGTTTTCAGAAGCGTTAATACATGTAGAGATCAACAAATGTAGTCAACTCATCTTCTCAATAGACTTGTACACCTGTGACTAACTAATAAATCTCCATTGTTGGGAGGTATGTATACATGGTTTTTGTTTTTGAGAAGTACACTTTTGCACAAATCCATTTTAACCTGTGACGAACAAATCAAATTCCTGTTAATCTACACCCAAATTAATCGGTCCAGGCGTAGATTAGCAGGAATTTGATTTGTTCGTCACAGGTTAAAATGGATTTGTGCAAAAGTGTACTTCTCAAAAACAAAAACCATGTATACATACCTCCCAACAATGGGAGGTATGAACTCGGGTCTGGATGGGCATGGCCCTGGGGTGGTGTAGCCATTGATGCAATCTGGGTCAGAGGTGACACCAATAATGGGTGACCACTGACAGATTTAGGGCTAGCCCCTGCATGATCCTAGTGCCAGTTGCACAGCATGAGTGAACGTGCTGTACTGCTGGGGGACACTGTCCTAGTATTCCCAGATTTGGGATGGCGGGACAAGAGGCCTGATGTATGGAAAATAATTGTTTAGAATTTCACTATAAAAATGTATTAACTATTATGAAGTGGTACAGGTATCCAAGTTTGGATATAAAATTGGTATCCCAAAGTGCATATTACTATAATACAGTTAAGGTGAAAGTTGTTCTTTACATAACATTAAAGGGACCTTATAGTCACCAGAAAAACTTCAGATTACTGTAGCTGTTCTTGTGTCTGCTGCCTGCCCCTGCAGGCTTTTTAATGTAAACATTACCTTTTCAGAGAAAAGGCAGTGTTTACATTACTGCCTATGAACACCGCTACTGGCCCTCCCTCAGATGGCCACAATGTGCAGCCCTGATCAGCAGTGTCAGACACCTAAATTAAGTTTTTTTTCCTGCCTAGTGTCAGTAATACCAGCTTGCATTCCTAAAATTATAGTGTTCCTTTAACCATTTATTAACCCCTTAAGGAGGCAATTGTCCAAGTTCTGAACCAAACAAAACCTAGAGTTTCAGCTGTATGTTTTTTAAACCATAATTTACCACTTTCACCAACACATTTTATTTTGTTCAGGAAAAATAGAGCTTTCATTTCACATCAAATATTTTTATATGAAAATGATCTTAGAATAATATCAATTTTAAAAAAATTGAGTACCTTTGGTAGGCTTATGTTTGGCATGCATTTATATATTGGTGGACTCCCTGAAAACACAGGCAGCCCCCCTGCAGCAAATCTAAGTCAGATCAGCAGGATTGGCTGCAGGGGGTCTGCATGGGTTTCCAGGTCATTAGGGCTTGTTATGCCACCCTAATGGCGTTAAAGGCCTCCTATTGTAGGACAGCATTGCACTCCCCAACATCAGGAAGGGGTTAATATGGAAAAAAAACAACAGCCAATAAAATGATAGGTGTTGTATTCCCTTAACTGAGAATTGTAAATTATAAGCAAAAATAAGTGGGCAACAACTAGGCTGGAGACTTTTTTCCAATTCAGCCCTTTTGTCATAATTTTCCATTACGCTTTTCAATTATGTACAGTTCCTGGTTAAGCGAATATAACTCTAAAGTATGAAGCCTATACTGGCATATAATCCTTAAACGTTCCCATTTCTAACGTTAACACTTACCTGAATACACAGCTTAAGATCTACACAGATAGGTACATGGGTGCATATGAGAAAAATGTGTTGAAGTTTCAAGCCTGCAGAATGATCTTGTGCTGCCTGAAGTGAATTCAGGTGCTTGCTGCACTAGTTATGAAGCTGTTTCATTGCTGCTACACTTTGAATGGTAACCACCCTCCTCACATGATATGATCAGAGCTAGAAGGAGCAAATCAGTACTACAAACTGGCTTTATCTGAAATACAATACAATCTATTCTATGTGTAAGTGCAAATCGCTCCTGCTTCCTGAGAGGTGTGGAGATGCAGTTGCTATCAGCCCTCTCATGAAATCAAATAATGAATCATTACAATAGATATGTAAATGTGTGTGTATATATATATATATATATATATATATATATATATATATATATATATAAAGCCAATAAAGTCTTTCTTTTTTTTTTAGCATTTACATTTAATGCGTCTTGTTTCAGTCTGAAAAACAGTTGTCAGTATGTATATATATATATATATATATATCTCTCCTCCCATGGAAGTAGCAATGAAAAGATAAGATAGTGCCTAGTCCAAAGCAGTCATGCAGAATTAATGTGTAAACAAGTATATTAAAAGGTGATCCCTTTGCTAATTGAGTACAACTACATATTAGTAATTATTAAGGGTATGATAAAGGAAATGGGTTTTTGTCGTCGTTTTATTTCATTGCTTGATGGACAATGTATTGCCCATGTATAATGCAGGTATTTAAGTATTCGTCTGGAAAATGCAAATGGCAGTGCACATTAAAGTTCTGCAGAACGCATCTTTTCTATGTTTGAGTACACGAAGGAACAATATAGGTACCTAACACTTTTTCTGTTATGTAAAGATTGTAACCTAAACAGTTTTCTAAATGGTAATTGCAATATTTAACTTACCTTACAGACACTATGAAGTTGATTCACAAAGCTGGAAATAGTGGAGGTATGGCAAAGTAATTGCAAATCATAGGTCAAAATAGCAGAGTTAATAATATAACTGAGTTAGACAATGTTTCCAGTTCAGCTATCCTGGCCTGTAATTCTCATTTTAAGTCTCAGTTTATCATATCTCCGCTAATTAAACCCTTTATAGGTGAAGATTGTCATATAACTGTTATAAGGGTTATTACTGAAGGATGATTTGGATAACTGGTATATTACAGTTTTCAGTGACAATTTTACCTAATAGCTCTGATCATGGCTTCTAATGAAAATTCACATCAATAAATATGGAGCAATCCTGCAAAGGATCAAACCTACATAACACAGGGCAGTACGTTTCATGTGCTGTTAATCAACATGAAGTGACATTTTAGTAGACTCACTAACAAGAATTACACAGACTGATTTCTAAATGCATTTGTTGTAGTTTAAAAGCATATTAATGTATTATTGCTTTGGAGCACTGTTATACACTACGGCACACCGACAATATGGAGTTCTTAGAAAAGACGGGGCCAGTTGGATAGAAAAGAGCGACATAATGATTTGGGCCCAAAACAGGGACTGTCCCTCCTCAATATGGTTGTTTGTGAGATATTAATTATTTGGCTCTAGAAAAAAATGGAGGAAACATGGAAGACAAAGTGTGAATGGTCAGGAATTCAAAGTGACTTTTAAAATTTTAGGGAGAAGTGGCTGGATTGGAAACAAAATCTCCAGTTTAGCTATATTTTTAGTTTGGCAATTGTGGGCTAAAATTTGAAATCCAATTGCCAACAATTCACACTTTAGTGAATAACCCCTTTCAGTTGCTTTATAAGAACTTATCTCACAAAGAATTTTGGTAGGATATATGCAATATAAGATTTGTGATGGAAATATAGCAATTTGAAACACAGGAGCACGTGAGGAGCATGTGTTAGGATTGGGGAAATTAGTCCAAGTACCAGGCCTAATACACATCTACACATGTGACCTTAACATTCAATACTTGAGATGGATCGGTGCACACTACCAGCTACTGTTTTAAAATATTTCTTTTATCTTTGAAACTACAGATTTGTTTCACTGTTGGTATGTGTGGTATCCACACATGTGACACACAACAGGTTAAGGGTGTACCTGTTACTACACAAGTTAATTGTTGGCTGAGTCAGTTAGCCTAATTCAGTTGTCCCTAGGCTGAGCTAAGGACATGTTTAAAATTTTAATTTATTAATGCTTAAGAACAATGTTAGGAAACACCAATATACCAAAATAAATTCTTCAAGTCACCTAGCTATTCTTCAAGAAGGGGAGGGCTGGCAATGAAGGCAATATGGCATATGCCCCCAAGTCCATGTGATTAGAAAGTGGGTTGCTGCCTTACATCACATAATTAAAATATATTATGTAATAGTGTTTTTTTCCTATAGTTTTCTAGTACTTAAATTAGTAGTATAAAATATGTAATATTACAGTTAATGGAGTGTGATAGGACAATGTGCTTTTTTGTTTGTAATTTGCCCCAGGCCAAATATAGCCAGCCCTCTTCTGATTTGAAATTTGGCTATGTTGGCCAGGAATTTGAAATTCACTTTGAATTCACCATGCATTCCTGATGATTTACAATGAAACCTTACGGAATAAATCTGTAGTTGCTGTGTTAGGGTTTATACTAAAATATACATTCAGCTATGTGGTTGTCTATGATACACTTTTGTGTCATAGACAGCAGAAGAAGTGGTACTATGATGTTTAAAGGAATAGTCCAAGAACCATATCCATTACAACCCACTGTCTATTGATCCAGGAGTGTCCTGAAGATCTCCCAGGGTTTGACAATTTACCTCTGTCCCTCTGGCCACCTACAGACAAAGCTCTGATTCCAGACTCTCCTGCAAAGAGAATCTGGTTAGTTTCATTGTGCTAAGCAGGTCTACAGAGGGCTACGCTCACTGGCTCAGATCATCAGCTGAGCAAGCTCAGCCAATGAATGGTCATCTGTTGGGCAGTGCTTAAAGACAACCTGCTTCTCCTTCAAGAATAGGCAGATGTGGTATAGGCATCCATGATACTTAGGTAAATCGTCAAACCAATCTAATATTCTTTGACCACCTACTATGGTGATTATGGTGCTTGTAGTGTTACCCTAGGTATCATGGGACCCAAACAAACAATTACATTATGAAAACAGCCTCTGTGATAGTGTAACTTTGAATATACCCAGGGCCAACATATGACATTGACAGAATTATTCACTATGAAGCAAACAAAAGAGGCAGCAACACAAAAAATGGAGTCTATAAATGTGTCTACAATAAAGTATATCATCAGGCATGACAAAGATCATTCAGGTCAAAGCATTACAGGGTCCATTCATTTTATGATGGTTTAAAGACACTTACATCTTGTTAGGGTTGCTGTCTTATCGTTTAGTTGATAGGACTACATGTAAATCTGGAGCAGGGTTCCTGGAGGCTGCACCCACAAACAAATGAAGATACCTCAGCTGTTATATACTTGAGAAGCTATAAAGTGTAATCCAATTGTTAGCTAATTAGCCTATTCACACTGTTTAGGGTCTTACTAATATTTATGAACTTCAACATTCCATTTTTGTGTGTTTTTTTCAAGGAATTGAATCAATATAACTCTTACAACAGTAACTTTAGGAACTTCGTTCAGTGAAATTTACTTTACTGGTGAAATTCCACCGTGATAAGGTGGTTACTACAGCTGAAAACGAGGGCATGACCTCGCTTAGGGAATGCCAACATTTTGAGTATTGATTTTTTTTTTTCTTTAAATAGACATTACTCTTTCTGAGATAATAATGTTACATTCTAATAACTAACTAAGTGATACAAATCTATTGTATCAAAAAAAGAATCTTCTGAAAGAATAAGAGTGGTAAAAAGCACGGGGTACTGACAGACAAGAGCTAGTACTAATCTAATCTAATCATTAAGTTACTATCTCCATGTTGTACATCAGGATAAGTCAGCACATCGCAGACCTGTAAACTCTTAAAGACTGCTATAATATTCAAAATTGGCCACAAGCCTGTGTAAAATTAGTTAACAGAAAACTCATGAGAACTCATAATCATTCAAGTAACACGACTCTCTGGTTGTATAATTAAGATGGCATAAGAAATTAGATTTACTGATCACAATATAGTGGGGCATGTCATTTTCAATTTATTTCCAACTAACGATGTAATACAAAAACAAAATGAAAATTCTTACAGAACTGAGTGAAGATGTATAAAACCATTGTTACCTCTAAACTGCATTTTTTATATTGTTGATTTAAATGCATGGATTTGTATGTATGTGTTTCTATTGTGATACATATTAGTCTTTTATATCAGGTGCCTAAACATTCATATAGATAGCACACCTCACACCTAATTTATGAAATATACCCTTGCAGCACCTAAGTATCATGTATTGGTCCCAGTATAATAATATTTTACCCATCTGTAATAACTGAGCAGCATAAGATACACTGACTAATGTTATGTCCAGTAAGAAAATATGTTAAATTTTTCTTGAAAGCAATTCTGGAGCAAAGTGCTAGATTTGGAGTAATCACTGCATGTGTACAATAAATATGTCTGTAGACACTACCAAGTATTACACCAAATTCTCCAAATAAATACAGCCAACAGTATGGCCAGGTAGATACAGCCCAAGGAGTATATAGATTTCATCACTCCAGAAAAGTAATTTACCATCCTATGCAGAATCTTACATTCTCTAAATAATGGATTCTTCTAAAACAGTATGGGATTGCATATATAGGCTAAATAAGCCAAGCTGCTGAAATAAAAACAAATGGGCAGACTAGATGGGCCGAATGCTTCTTATCTGCCGTCACATTCTATGTTTCTATGTTTCTAAATGGAGAATGTTTTGGAAGATGACTACGTTAAATTTGTAATTTCAGTTACTAATTAATCCTGATTGTGTTATAGTATCTATTATGAATTATTCATCAAATGAAAGTGCTCTGCTGATATTTTTGAAAGAAGTCTCTTATTTTGGGTCTGTATAGTAGGTTTGTATTTCTCTCGGCAATTGCCAGGTTGCCACTCCTTGATTATTAGACAATTACTAAATGTGAATCCTAATTCTCTGTGCAGGAAAAATCTGCATAGTGTAACTTGCTTTAAGTAATAGAGTTAATTTCTCTGCATATCGACCAGTCTGCTACTGGTTCATTCTAAAGTGACCCTGCCATCTGTAAATCATGTGAATGTTAAGTGCTACTCTAGGTAGATATTGATGTATCCATAAACTATGTTGATAAAATTACCATCAAATTAAAAGAGAGATTTTACCTGAAGATCACTTTTTCCTCCAGTAACATAGACACCAGTAATGGGAACAGTACTATTGTGGAAGGCAGCCATATGACTTGGAAACAGTGAGGTTGCATGCACAGCAGCCTGTCCAGTCCATATTTATAGTAATTCCATTTAAACAGTGACATAATTATAAAGACTAAGAGCAAAACTTATCAAAGTGTCACATTCTGAAAAGTGGTGCAAAGTTGTAATGATTGAAAGTAATCACAAATAGAATGTTCCAACTGATTCCATTGATTTACATGGTGATTTTCATATGTTTAGAACATGGGTCGTCAACCTGGTCCCTACCGCCCACTAGTGGGCGTTTTAGGATTCCAGGTGGGCGGTAGGGATTTCTGAGGCTAAATCCTCTTTTTAAGAGGATTTCTCCTTTTGCGCGGGCGCGAGCGGCTCTGCATGCGCAAGTCTTCAGTGACCGGCAGGAGGAAGCGCTCCCTCCTGCCAGGCCACCTTCTGGACCCCCCGGCATGGCAGAGTTCTAATCAGTCGCGGCGAGGGAGCTCTAACCTCTCTGCTCTGCTCCCTCGTGCGATGTTTGCTGATGCCGCGGGAGCCGGAATATGATGTCATATTCCGGCTCCCGGCATCCGTAGACAGTCCGCGAGGGAGCAGAGCAGAGAGGTTAGAGCTCCCTCGCAGCGTCTGATTAGCCGCCCGCCTAAGTGAAGCCCCACTGGACCCCAGGGACAGATCCACACCAGCTCTCCAGGTAGGGAGGCTGGGTGGATATTTAATATTAATAATTTGTGTGTATATGTGTTTGTCTCTAAGTGTATGTGTGTGTGTGTCTGTAAGTGTATGTGTGTGTGTCTGTAAGTGTATGTGTGTGTGTCTGTAAGTGTATGTGTGTGTGTGTGTCTGTAAGTATATGTGTCTGTGTCTGTAAGTGTATGTGTCTGTGTCTGTAAGTGTAAAGTGTCTGCATCAATGTGGAGTCAAGATTGTATCTTCAATTTATGTTTTTTGTCCTCTTTTAGTTTTACAGCATTAACAGAACTGAGTGGGACGCTGGACTTCATGTATATGAGTCTTTTTTAGCTAATATCACTATGTAGCTCTTCATGCTTGTCTACCCTCACGCTGCAGCTGCCTTCTCTCACTCCCGCGCTGTCTCCCTTCAGGATGCTGTGAGGAAGTGACAGGCTGTCGCTTCCTCTCAGCCAACCCACATTACAGGGGCCCGGTCGCAGTCTTAAAGGACTGCGCCACTCGACCGGGTCCCTGTTGAGCAGTAATGTTTCCCCAGAGCTATAATCATAGCACCGGGGAAATATTCTGCGGCACCCCTGTGTGCACGTCGCGGCGCCCTGGTACACAGTTTGGGAACCACTGATATATACCATATATAAAGATCGCTTGCACAATACAAAGAAACATTTATCTTCTCTAGAAAGTGATCAAAGTGACAAGTGTGAAATATCAAATACGCAACCTGCCTTCAACAGAAAACCATACAATGGTTGCAGTTACAAAATAGAAATCGTACTACCCATACTAGTATTAACCATGATTAACATTGCAAAGTATAATTCTGCAGAATGTAATCTTGTCTCCAAGTTACTCACCCCCACCTGAGTCTATAAGACTCTTTCTACCAACAAGCACGTACCATGCATTTACAATGAAGAATGAAATGCCTGTTGCATACCAAATCACATGCTATGACTTAATGACACCCCTGATTAACGTGGGTCTGCATGACAAAGGCTACAGCAGGAGCTATTAAAAAATACTTCTGTGGATCTTTGTTTTGGAGATTAGTAACAAAGTATATTGTAATTTATGTTCTCTTCTAACACAACTTTGTATTGAGCGTAAGAAATTATCCTGATCTATCCAAGCTGTTATGTGTTATCAAAATTCTTCCAAATACAAAACAATGATGAGGGTAACTGAAGTATAAAATGGCTTTTCTTTTTATAGACTACATACATTGGCAGCTTTGCATTATACAGAATGCTAATGACAATATACAGTGAAATAGTTTAAGGCATTCCTTGATATGTATGCAGCATTTAGATTATGTATATTGATGATACTGAGTGAGATGTAAATTTGGCTCCTCTGACAGATTCAGTTAATAGCGGAACCATGGTTTATTATTAAGCTTAACTTCTTACAAATATCGATCAATCAAATTTAAGGTTCATTACACTTATTTGAAATGAGTCTTTGCTGACTAATTTATGCAAGTAGCCATCATCATTAATGTAAACTCGGCAAAGCATGTTAAACTAGAAAAGCTACAATTTCTGGGGAAATTGTGTGAAGTGTTCTTGCCTCCACCAGTAGTCTACACCTGGAGTGGGCGGAGTAACTGTTATCATTTATATAGCACATTTAATTGCAACGTTGTTGCACAGTTACATTAAACCATACATTTATAAAAACATTAGCAGGTGTTCAAAAGGCCCTGTCTATGACATCACTTGCTGCTGCAGCCTGGCACAGGTCAGAGTATTTTGGCGGTTGCCATCTTCAAACGGTCGTATTTTAAAAACTATAAATCCTACAGCGAAGAGCTTTATATTGTGAGAATCACAAGACCCAGACCTACATTTTGATGCATAGTATGTCTCTGAAGTATTAAAAATGAAGGCACAGTCGCATTTTAGAAATTGCACTTCAAATTTGAGCTTTGTAGAGTGAAGTTTCAATGAATGTCAATGGACGGCGTTAGTTGCAAACAAATGATTATATTGTGAAAACTATCAGGACTATGGCTTAGCCGTTGACATGTTTAGTGGCAGCAGGGATAGCTGAGCGTTTTGATATAAGATTTGTGTAGGTGGGCCTGAAAATAAGGGAGTGGTGGCAGTTTAGAAATCATGTCCTGATTTTTCAGCTTTTGCCAGCTCCCACTCTAGCTTTGCCATTCATTCCTATGGGACAAATTGCGCCACAAGAACGACGATATTCCGTGAACCATTCGGCGAAACATTCCACAAAGTAATAGCAATCCGATCGGGAACAATCTGCACGTTTTGGTAAATTTTTGTCTATGTAGTGTAAAAACTGTGGGAGGAGTTAGGGTGGCAAATTTGGCTATAATAAGAATAATAATATATATGTGAGATAACAATAAGTGGTCTTGCTATGCAAGAACACTTAATAAGAATATATATGTGAGATAACAATAAGTGGTCTTGCTATGCAAGAACACTTAATTATTCTTCCATACATTTCCACAAAATGCATGGCATATTTAGGCTGGAGTCCTGAAAAAATAAGTTAATTAAAAAAAAAAGTTTAATATATAGGAGAGAACACCACATTACCAAATAGGTTTCACAAATAGGAGAGAACACCACATTAATGCACCATATTTGGAGTTTATTGTACAGTTTATTGTACACCAAATTTGGAGTTTATTGTGTTGGGATTTTGCTGTGAGCAGTGGTGGATCTACCATAGGTGCAGCAGAGACCACACACAGGAGGGGATCATTGGGTGGTCCATGACTTAGTGACACCCAAAGAGCATGTGTGAGATTACAGCATTGAGGTCTGTGGGATTGTCTACGGAATCCTTTATAGATAGAGTCAATTCCCTGCAGCAGTCACTGGTGATGGCACGGGGGTTGACACTTCTAGATGGCAGTGGCTCTTCCCAGTGTCTAGAAGTGTCGGGTGCAGAATGAATACTGAGACAAATAGTCCTTACTTTGTCTCAGTATATCTTTCAACTGGATTGGAATTTCAATAAACTTTCAACACAGTCAAAAGAAGTATTTCATAAAGATTTTATCATTCAGAAATACTAATTTTGCCGGGATCGTGTGATAATGCCACTTTAAGGGCAGTAAATGGTAGTAGTACCACAGTATTTACTGTCATCAGGGTAAAGGCAAAAAAATGTATTGTGATTGCTTGACCTGTCTGACATAAACATTGAAATCTTCAAGGCACCTGCAACATAGTATGCAAAATAGAGAGCATCATTAATTTTCTTGGCAAGGTCCACCATCTTGCTACAAGAATAAACTTGTAAACCTACAGTTTATGTTTACCTTTCACCATGCACAACATAAACTATACTCAACCTTCATTGAACTGCTTGACTTCAAGAAAAAAAAAAAAAAAGGAAAGCATATGGCTCTTATCCAGAGAGCTCAGCTATGAAAACCAGCAATACAAATATTCAATTCAATATGAACCAGAGATGAGACTTATAGAAGCCATAGAAGCTCTTTTAAAAAAAAAAAACTAGACAACTACCACATGCCTATATCAAAGAAACAATGTACCTCCTGCTTATGTGCAGTTTAACATCAGAGATAAAATTAGATTATATCTTTGGCTTCAAAATATTTTATTTTAGAAGGAAGTTGTTTCAGAAATGTGCTATCTTTCTTTCCCTTGTATATTTCCGTCATTCTGCTTCTAACAAATGCATCACTTTAGTTTATGTTTTGGTTTTCTACAATATATCAGTATCAAAATCCCTAAATGTTATTTGTGGAATTTTATTCAGAATGAATCTACACCTATCTTTTGTTATTAGTTAGCTCACAAATTTAATTTGGAAGGGTCGACACTGACAAATGAATGATCTAATAAAACTCATTCTCTTTCTTTCTAAACTTTGGGTTTGTTTTCATCTTAGAGCAGTGATGGCTAAGCGTGACACTGCAGATGTTTGAGAAATAGATTTCCTAAGGGCTGGCTGAACGGAATGGAAAATATAGTTTACAAACATCTGTAGTGCTAAGGTTGGCAGTCGCTGACGTAAAGGGACATTCCAAGTGACATTACTAGCATGCAAATTTAAGATTGCTTGGAAGAAGAATGTATTGTGTACGGCTAATAAATAATAGTTATTTTCTTTTGTCTGTAATACTAGTTCAATTTTCAGTTTCTCTCTAATTTAATTTTGCTAAGAAGCAAGGGTGAGCACTGAGCACTGTGCTTTTAAAGGGATATATATAAATGAAAAATCCTTTCTACACTCTATGCAACAGTTTGTTAATTTGCAAAATGGTATTTGCATCATGTCTTGTGGATCAGCAGCAAGTATGTGAGATGTGTGCACACATATATATACACACACACATAATACAGTGTGTGTGTGTGTATTTGTTTGGAGGGATTGTGTGTGGGGGTAGGGGGACAGATTATGAAATAGCCCCACTCCCTTCTTACCTTTTGCCTGGGAGGGAGGATCCTTGCTGCCATCCCTGATCCCTGGTAGTCCTAGTGGGAGTGAACTCTAGCCTACAGGGCTAGAGTTCACTCTCGCAAGAGGGATGATGTTGCGAGAGGAACCCCGCAGAGCTGCTGGCAAAGGCTCCCCGGGTCCTCTCCTGCCTCCCACCCTGCAGGCCGGTGAGGGAGATCTCACTCATCGGCCCATGGAGGCACACAGTGCGGGCATACCCTGTGCGCACGCCTATGAATATTATACTATTGATATTAGATTATTGGCGTAAGGTATGTATTTATATATCCTAAGGTATGTATTTTTATATCCTACAATCCAAAAAGGAGAAATACACATGTTAAGTTTGATAACATTTTGTCCTTTAACCATTAAAGTACTAGATCGGTACAAACTACTGAGCAGCAAAATAAATAATTACAGCATGGAATATATTTATTTATTCATTTATTTATATTCCACAAAAGCTGGGTCCATTCCATTAATATGCATCATGTGCAGGATGCTTTAATGTCAACACAGAACCAGAATCTCTAAGGAGCCTTTTAGCAGATTATTGAATCCATGCTGCAAATAATTCAGTGTATTCTGTGGACAAAATAGGATCCTAAAATTACAAAAAGTGGTCAGTATGTGGTCACTGTGTGTATTTGTCAAACTGAAATATAATGCCTAAGAGTAACTGACTCTAGTTAGAGTGACTATCATGCAAAAATGTGAGAATCACATTAGGTTTCCATATATTTCTCAAATCCATATATATCTTCTACAAAGTGGAAGTGGAAAGTCAGGAAAAGGAAAAGGCAGACGCTCAATAACGGTCTATTCTTTAGTACAAAGCAGGGGATAGGCTATGATGCAGTGCATGGCTCTTTTTAAAGGAACACTATAGGCTCCCAGATCACTTCATCTCAATGAAGTGGTTTAGGTGCAATGTCTCCTCCGTTTCAACCTTGCAGCTGAAAACATTGCCATTCTGCAGAAATTTAAATGTTTTCATTCCAGGGTTACTTGACTTTAATTCTACCAAAATTGTGAAGTAAAACTAAGAGACTATCTGATTGGCACAGCATGACACTAGCCTCCCACACACCTCCACCCCTCCCCCTCAAGATCGACTCTGCCTATCAGTGTACTGCAAAATATATACATGATATTTAAATTGTGTATATATTGTTCAGTACACAGACTGACCCCTTTTTGGACCCTTTTGGTTCATCTGGTTTTTTCTCCACTCAGTTTTTTGTTACCAAAATTTGGCGAGCCATAATCTCATGTGCATAAGTCTATTTGACAGATAGCCAAGATGGAGACACTCAGTTCCACCTTGGAAGTAAACACATCTATGGATTTTTAGATTTAATGTTGTTATTTTTTTTTTTAAATCTCACAAATACACATTTGTTAAATGTAGAGGATCATGAACATTTTATTAAATATTGCAAACTGTCAGTTCCATTTTAAAGAGCAAGGTATCTTGAGTTGAGAGTGAAATGGTTCTGTTACTTTCCTTAGTAACAACTGCAAAGTTGCTCATAATTTTCTTGATAATGAGTTCACAACATAATGCTGATACCGTTACTGTGCATTTCCCCCTTCAAACTAATATTAAGCTGAAATTTGAGGAAGTCAGCTGGGGGAGAATAAAGTCCCTTTCGGCTGCAAAGTTTTAAGGGGAACAGAATTTATATATCAGCTGTCTCTTTGACTCATACAGGCCTTCTGCTTTTCATAAATTAATCATGACAACTTTTTGTAAGTCAGTAGTAAGCACAGTGCTTCAAATGTATGCAATTCTTTTTTTCAATTCAATTTCCCTAGAATATATTACAGCTAAATCTCCAAAGACAACGCAGATTTGGACGTGAGCAATTAATCAACAGAGAACAACAGCATTTTTAATGGATACTCACAGCTGAAATGATGCATTATTGTATTTTTTAATTTATGGAATCCTAGACATGATCTCTTTCTTTGAGAGTCAAACACAGTGGCAGAACCATCATGGTTGCAAAGGTCGCTGTTTGTGGTCAGACCCCAGAGTGAATAAGTCAGAGCGCTGCTGCCAGGTTACCATGCATGAGCGCTAGGCTAAAATAATGTTTTTCTAGTTTGCATCTGTCAGAGGTGCAGACAAACTCTCCCAGTGGTCCAACGGGGAACATTCTCCTGCTGGACCACCAAGGATTATTCACCCTAGCTGCAGAATGGTAAGCAAAAGAGGGTAAAAACATATTTCTAATAATAATATTAAGCACACAGCCCCCACAACTCTACATACAATCCCACTCGGTCAACCACACACACAATCACACTCATCCAACATCACACGCAATCATACTTAACCAACACCATACACAATTGTACTCAACCAGCCATCACAAAGAATCACATTCAGCGAGACCGACACAAACAATCACTCTCAGGCAACTTCACACTTAATCACTTTCAGCCAGCCCCACACACACGATTACTTTCAACAAGACCCACACAATTAAATTCAACACGCTGCACACACACTCACATGCAGCCAACTCCTCACATACATATCACACTTAGCCAACCACCACAATCACACACAGCCACTTACACATCCTACTCAGGTATGTGGCCCTTCTATTATTTTTGCACATGGGCCCATTGATTCCTATTTGTGCTCCTAGTCAAAGGTGTACCAAAATCATTGCTTTGTGGATATTACAAACACTCTAATGATTAGAATTCTACTTTTGATATATAAGCATTGCAACTTATTAGAGAATCTAATCATCATGTTTCAGTGTTGTAAATATATGGGTTAAAGGGCCACTACTTGCATATTTGTATTTGTGTCATATTTTTTAAATCTAAATAATATATCTTTCTATATTTTAATTATTTTAACAAAGCATAAAATCCCAATACCAAAAGACACCCCTACTTAAGTATTTCTAATTTACATTAGCTAGCTGCTATGTATTTTTTCAGGTTTACAAAAATATTCAGTGTGTATACATTAAAATAAACAACTTTATAACTAAACTATGAGGTTCAACTATTTTTAGGTTATTTCCTCTACGCTAAAATCTAAACAGATGAGGAAGGAAGTAGTAATGTGAGATAAATATTGGTTAGGATATATTTTTATATTCAAGTGATTCAAATACTATAAAACAATACAACCTTTTTCAGTCCCTTAATAACAAAAGTATAGTGATGTTCCTTCATAACAAACTAGTTTTTAAATATTCTGCATATGGAATTGAATGCCCCACTCACTAAGTAACAGCATAGCTGTTAGGCTGCATTAATAGGCCTAATTTGTAGTAGAGAATCCACAGGTTCAGCAGCGTAGGCACATCAATATATGATCATTGGAAACAGGGAAAGAGTGTGAACCCGTGGACATGATTAAAGGCCACCGGGAATGTAGACCTACCAGCAGTGGTGTATTTTGGATCTGTGCTGCCCTAGGCATGACAGAACTCGGGCACCCCCTAATATACATTTGTCCCTTCCTGATAATGCCACACCTCTTCCAGTAAAAGACTAAAACACACTTTAACTAACAGACACACACTCTCAGATACACTGACATACACACACTGATTTGACACAATTTGACAGACACACACAATCACTGACAGACACACCCAGACAGACACACACTGACAGGCATGCACACACTCACTGACATACACACACAATGACGCAGACACACACACAATCACTCACTGATACACACACACTGACAGGCATACACAATCACTCAGACACACACACATACGCATTCACTAACAGACACACACTCACTCACTCACAGACACACACTGACAGACACACACAATCACTCAGACACACACGCTCCCTCACAGACACACTGCCAGACATACACACACACTCACTCACAGACACACACAATCACTCAGACACAAGCACACATTCACTGACAGACACGCACTCACAGACACACACAATCACTCAGACACACAGGGTCCCTCACAAACACACACTGACAGATATACACACACACTTTCACTCACAGACACGCACAATCACTCAGACACACACTGACAGACATTCACTCACTCACTCACAGACACACACTGACAGACATACACACATTCACTGACAGACGCACACATTCACACACACTGACAGATATACACACACAGACACACTGACAGACTGAAAGGCATACACACACACTGACAGCCATACACCCACTGACATACAGACAGACACACACACACACTGACAGCCAGACACACACACACACACACACTGACAGTCAGACACACACACACATTTCCCCACCTACACTCACAGATTATTTTTAAATTTTAATTTAAATCCACCCAGCTTCTATACCTTTGGGAGAGCTGGGTGGATTTTTTACCTGGGATCCAGTGGGGCTGCTGATCAGGCTGTTTGGGCAGAAAGCAAGACAGGCACGCTATAGAGTGATGCCTGGAACCGGAATATGATGTCTGCCTGGAGTTCAGCTAGCCACCTACCACCAGGATAACAAGGCATTTGCTTGGGCATTTGGGGGCGGCGTAAATTTTCCGCCCCTGGAAAGTGCCATCCAAGGCAAATGCCTTGCAAAGACAGTTACCGAGATCGGAGGTCAAGCAAGCAGTTACAGCTTCCCAGTTAGGCTGGCCTGGCCTTTGGAAGGACTTGTTCTTCAAGGCAAGTATCAACCCCACTGCTCAACCAGCTTTTTCTTGCCGGGGGTTGATCTTTCTGCACATGCTCTGTCTCCCAGGCAGGTATCAACCCCTCAGCCTGTTCTAGTTTGCCCAGGAAGGTATCAATCCCTCTGTCTGTTTTACTTCCAGCTACTGCCTTTACAAAAGCATTTGTGGCTCTCAGACCTAGCTCTTTCTTGATATGTCCCCGGGAACAGAGGATGGTGCAGCCAGCAAGCAGGCCTGAAAGCTTTGCTACTGGATTCCCTGAACAAACCAGATAGAACACATACTTCTCAATAAAACTACCACACAATTCTGTATTTACACTCAGGACAAGCCCTTACCTGCTTGACATCAAATTACGGAGAAACACTCAATCCAATACAAATAACAAAATCATATGGGCATGTATTGTAATAATACAATACAATATTCATAAAGGGATGGGGAAGACAAAGACTAACAAGAAATATGTCCCTTGCCTGCCTAAAACCATAGTATGCAAATTTACAACCTTGCCATTCAGATTGTGCACATAATTGTTACAACCAAAGGGAGGCACTGTACAGGTCTCACAGCCAGTCAGGGAATAACGTAAGACATTCCCCATTTAACATTACAAAAAAACGCAGCACCTATATTAGGCACAGGGTTACTTAAACATGAGAGTGATCTAAAGACCTACACGAAGTGTCAGTCATTTGCTCAAGGTGATGGTGACTATTGTTAGAACTAGTGGAGAGTCAAAAATGGGTCGCAAGAGAATACTGAGAACGGGCAGCAGCTGAAATAGCCTGCCCTTCGGTGGGTCCCCGCTCAGTTCTCAAGCTGATTTTTGCTCATCTTGTGCCATTACAGAGAGAACATATCTGAAGCATATCAGACTGGTCCCACCCATACAGGCAGTCCAGATCCGAAATGCCAGCAAGTTCTCTCTGCACGAGATATACAGCAACCCCAGACGATCGTTTCAGCCTTGTTAGGCATCATCAGTGAGGCATAGCTGATATCTCTCTAGGCACCGTGAGCATTGTTAGAACTAGTTAATAGAATTTTGACCAGTAATGTACAGGATTATCAGGCGTAAACTGTAGAAAGCATTTTATCCCTAGAGAAATTAATAACTATTCCAGTAACATGACAGTCAGTTATGTACTCTTCAAAAACCTATATTTTGTATAGTGAATACATTTTTTTTAATGTTCATTACAATTAATATATTGAAGTGTTACAGAACTCCTGCAAACAAAAATCCCCACTGACATTTAGGAACCAAATAAACAAACACTTTACGGTGATTACTCACTTTAGGGGAATTGAGTATAAGTTAGGTGGCTGGGATACTCGTACATTAACCTTAAAAGAATGTAAATGTAGATACTTATCTATATAGAGGCTGAGGGTAACAATAAAAAGTACTGGTTCCTGTTAAACAAGACTTCTGGAACACATATTTAGGTACTTTAAACTCATTCTTCCTCCTTTTCTTTCTCCCTTATCTTTTTTATATTCTGACTTCATGTTTTGCATCTTGATACCAAAATAAAGACAATCGTGAAAATGAGCCATCTAGGATTGCTATCATATTCTGCTTTCGTGCAATGTTATCACAGAGACAAACATTTGCTTGCATAGATGATTTATCTGTTAGCACATGATTACTTATTAACCCCTTCATTACAAGTTTGCTTCTTTTAAAGACTATTAATACCAACTTAACATTAAATTAACATTCATTTTGAACATACTACCTAAACGGAGGTTAAAACAAGTATTTGTGTATATAAGAACTTTAATTTTTCACACTTTTTATACTTAAGTAAGTACAAGTACATTGCGTATCTGTACTAATCAGATAAGAAGCAGTCGAACTTGTCAGTTCATTAGCATTATAACATTATATCACTATAGAGATTAATGTTTGTATTTTCATATATCACTGGATTATCAACTAAGCAAATTGAAATATACAGTAGATAAAATGACTCAAATAATTAGATTAATTTAGAATAATATGCAAATCCACAGTACATCCTTTGTGATCCCAAAATTTACAGTGTAAAAGAAAAATCAGTGACAACATTACTTGGGTTGCCAAGGTGACTGTTCTACTTTTAGAACTCTATCCATACATTTCCAATGATGCACATGTCTGCATGTGATAGAGAATATATATTTAGCTTAATTAATGTCAAATGTCCATAAATCCACTAAGTCAAATGCAAACAATTGTTTGACACATCTATTGTCCAGGGTTGTAAAAAAAGCACTGTAATCATAGTTATACACATATCAGTCATGTGTTAGGTATAATAGGTTTATAAAAGGAGGGACAAATTTGACATTAAAAATGATGTAATTATTCAAACAGGCTCCAATTCATTCCATTTAGGGTGCTCCATGTTAAACAAAGCTCGTAAATGTGCCCCATGTTAATGTCACCCTGTACATTTTACTATATAAAGGTCTTGATTTACTAATTTTGGATGTGCTTTTCCAATGATTTAATATTGTTGTATAAACTTAAAAAAATTATTTAATATCTTGAAAAAATATATATTTTTATATATTAATATTTTTTTAAATTTTGGTATATTTTAATAAAATAATATAATAATAAAATAACTTTACAAGTGTATCCATAAATATGAAATAATTTGAAAAACTTGTTCAAAAATATGAAATCAAAGCTTTTTTTGTCAGACGGATATCAATGTGTTATGTTGTAATGATAATGACAAACACTTGCAAAGGAAGTACATATGAAATAAATATGTTTCGACATTTGTGCATGTGCTCTATATAGTACCCAATCTTTGTCAATTTTAAACCAGAGAACTGAGCAAAAGGACAAAAAAAAAATCACATGTTTCCAATATTGCAACACTGGATTAGAAGCCTGTAGTGTTAAGGGGTATTAAACCAAAATAATTATCTGTGGGACTAAAACTTAATTTAACGTTTTAGTTTTGTAAAAAAAAAAATATGTCGTAAAATTATCACTCTACGCCTCTGAGGTACAACTTTCCACAGAACAGGGAACCGGAACTTATTTCACTATTTACTGTATCTGATATATTATACTCAGAATTTTAGTCCATACAATTTACATTTAAGCTAAAATGGCTCATTTGGAAAAATTCACAACTTGGCTACATAAGCCTTTGGTTTGCCATACACAAAATTTTATATTTTGATAAGCTTCTCAAATGATTGAATATTTTTTGATAAACTGTTAAAATGATTTAATATTTAGAAAAAATATTTCAATATTTTAATAATTTGATATTTTTTTTTACACCTTGATATATGTTATCCAAAAATGTGAAATCATTTAAAACCATTATCAAAACTATTAAATTGAGGCCTTAATTTGTTAACATTCAGAGTCTAATGAATGACTCTGTTAGAGATACTCCGAATTCCCCCGTAAAGGTGGAATCAAAGATTTTAATATGTTATTGTAATGTGGCATATGCTTATGATGTTAATAATGCCACTTTTTTGTATGCAGTGAATTATGTACTGTACATACAACTGTCAACAATTTTCAACTGGTACAATCACAACTGGAATCAATTGGCTAAACTATTCTGATACTATTTAACAAGGACTACTTATTAAAAAAGTGATTCTGTTTCAGAAAGTTACAGCTGTTTAGTCTACATAAAAAACATAGTAGTTATGGTGGAAAATGTATTTGTAATATATTGAATATTTCAAAGTAAAATTATGACAAAGCAATAATAAAAAACCCCCACTACAGATATTATCAAGCTACAGCCTTTGTGTGAGGAATAACTAAATTATTGTGTAAGACCAGAAAACAAGGAGCAGTTTCGGTGCAAATTGTCTATGAGTAAAAGTGTGAGAACAATACAGACATGTTCGCTTTCTAACTTTATTTAACTAATAAAGCCCCATCTTGCAATCATAACATCTTGAAACCAAAACGTATGTGGCTTTTTAACTCTACAGACAAAACAGAAGTTTCATATTCAGCATCCAGTGACTTTTCCACTGGCAGAGAGTGAAAGTCAAGGGGTGCAGATAAAAGTGAGCTATACTCGCGGGCACCACCATTTTCGTCTTGCAGGTCGTATTCACCCCCTGGCCCTTTACTGACCTGGAGCTGACATCAGATTTGTAGTCTCACGCATGCAAGATTATATCTATATGAAACACTCATTTTGGATGAGGAGGTAACAGAGCCGCTTTCAAGAATGCCTAAATCACTTTTTTTTCTTATGCTCTTTTGAAAGAGCATAAAACTTTATTTATCCATTTAGCTAACAGTTTTGCTAGCAAATGTATAGATTGGGAGAAATATCTATTTAAAAACATGTTTTTCTCCAATCTCTCAATCGATGTCTTTCAGACACTAAATGCAGGGGCATTGACTGACAAGGGAGTACAGCAAAGACCTCCCACAGGAGGTCCTTCTGCTCTCCCAAGTACTTTGTTCTGATGCTGGCATCCTGGCAAAGAAGCCAGCAAGCCAGAGTCACTGAGGTTTGCCCTGCTTGGGGAAGCGTCCCCAAGCATTGCAAATCAAAGAAGACAGGAGGCAGAGCGAATTACTGCCCGGAGGTGAGTGTTACATGAATAAGGTAGCAGTCCTAGAATGGAGGAGAGGTGAGTAAATATTTATATTTTTAATTCAACACATCATGTATCTTTTTGATATATGGTGTATTCAATGTATGGGAGTGATATCAGGTAAGTACATTTTTCCTATTCAGGTCCACTTTAATGCAAAAATAAAAACATATATACATAACATATACTTCACAATGTCCCTAATTTGGAGCATATCTCCATCATCAACTGAAGAGAAACGGAAGTAAAATAGCTGAGATCTGACAGCCAACCCTGTTCCTTTAAATTGTTTTAAATTTGAGGTAAGCACATATCCCTCAAATCCTTAATAGTAATAGTTTATAAAATGTAGAGCTCTGCAACTTCACTCATGATAAACACAAATTAAGTTACTCATGCAAGTTATCATAAGAAGCCAGACAAGAATGACTATTCATACTTGAAAGTGTTATATTCTACTTAGATGAATTATACTCTCACAACCTTGTATGTAGCAAGGACATCACGTAGCCTAGTTTTCCACACGGCCCTATCTCTGCACCCTGTTTTTAGGAAGGCCTAAGTCATTGATTGTCCCTGAGTACTCTGGGCATGATACAGATCTGGACAGAAGTTTTAAGTCCATGGCAGTAGAGATCATTCCACCAATACTTTTATGTTTTGTAGCTATATATGAAACTACTTGAAGCTGTGTTCTTTGACAAGATTCTTTGAGAGATCTATACATACACAAGCCTCTCCACAAGAAATATGTGTAAAGCACACAGCTGTATTTTTTTGCATCAGTTATCTTACTTTTGGAAATGTAGAGTCACATGGGTGGAGCAAAGATAAAAAAAAAAATTAGTTTTTTTTTGAGGGCTTTGTTTTGCAACTGCATAATACTACAGCATAGCCTAACCCTGCATCTTTTTTCTTTGGGGTGTACATGCCTTATGCCTTAAACTAAAATTGTACAAAATGTACCTCACATAAACAAGGTTTATTTATACTCATCTCCTTCTATATTCTTTCAAACTGTACTGTACAAAAAAAATCCTGGAAGCTTAGTTTAGTTCATTAAATATCCTCCCTGAGATTTAAAACTACTGTTGAAAGTAACTACTGCCCTTTAACATATTTTTTTTTTTATGTCTGCTGTGGTTGTTTTGTGTCTCACAAACAAATTTAATAATTTTACTATCCACTGAGAAAACATGAAATATCATATCTCATGTGTATTTTGGAATGGGAAGCTACTTCCTTCCTGCTCCTCTCGTAATGTCCCATATTCTTGCAAATTACACAGCATGTATATCCAAATTATTTCTGAACTTGCCAGTGAATTAGTATTAAGCTCAAGTGTATCGTTAGAGCAACATATATCTGTCGAAAACTCCAGAGATTATGTGATATCTATGAGATAGCATTGAATCCTTGGTAACATGAAACAGTATTATTTAGGGGGGAAACACATGCAACACACCACTGTATACTTATTATAGTAAGGGGTATGCACTGAAGTGTGAATTGTCTGGAATTCAAAGTGAATTAACATGAATCCTCTTTGCATTCACAACAATTCACACATATAATGAATAACCCCTAGTAAACTTTCCCAGATCTGAAAATCAACAATAGTAAAATCTACCTGGATAGTCAGGAGGGGATGCATTCATCAGCTGTTGGTGCACTTTGATAATTACATGGTTACATAGTTACATAGCTGAAAAGAGACTTGCGTCCATCAAGTTCAGCCTACCTCACATTTGTTTTTTGCTGTTGATCCAAAAGAAGGCAAAAAAACCCAGTTTGAAGCACAATTTTGCAACAAGCTAGGAAAAAAATTCCTTCTTGACCCCAGAATGGCAGTCAGATTTATCCTTGGATCAAGCAGTTATTACCCTACATTGAAAGATTATATCCTTGAATATTCTGTTCTTGCAAGTATGCATCTAGTAGCCGTTTGAACATCTGTATGGACTCTGATAAAACCACTTCTTCAGGCAGAGAATTCCACATCCTGATTGTTCTTACAGTAAAAAAACCTTTCCTTTGCCTTAGATGTATGTTTGTTTGTTTTAAAATAAGCCTTTGTGAAAATATTCTACTACTATAATTAACTAGTAAATGGACAATACAACCATGAGTAACTCAGTAGTTAATACTTTAGTACCACTTCAGTACCAATTCAAAATGGCTGTTTGATTCCTGTCATTGTCATGTCAATATGTATTCCTTCTGAGGTCAATAAAATGAAATAAAATATATATACACATATATCAATGTATTTAAACTTTTACTAGTTGTAATGACATCCTTGAATATATATATGTTATTATCTAATCCAATGCCTATTGTATTAATCTTGGAAGGATAAAGGAATAATTGGCGCTAGATATACATGAATACAGAAGATATTGCAATTGAAACACTATGTTAGTCAGGTCATAATGCTGGTAAACAGTGTGTATTGAGCCAATACAAGTCAGTGTTGCAAATAAACCACAATACCTTCATAGTGGAATGTAGAGGGCTAACAAACTGAAAAAGGAATTCCCTTTGAAAGGTAAAAGAAAAGGATAAAACAAAACAAATCACAAAAAATAGTATGAAATTATTGTAAGTAAACAAGGGGGGTGTAGATAACAAGTTAGTAGTTTATTTAGCCATCCAAGCATTTCCCCAAATCCATACTGAAAAGTCTACCTAGGGGAAAACATTTGATTGCTCTCTGAAGGATAAAGGACTGGACTCATATGTGAAATGAACAAACAGAAGCAGTACTGTGCTATCTCCCTATGAATACAGGGACCAAACCTATCAAATGCATTTTTATTTGTGTTGGGGCCTTCCCAAAGCACCCTGTATTACACAAACACATCTCATTTATGGTTGGGCACATCGACTGTGGCACGTCATTGTTTAAGGAATTATCCATACTTTGTCCCAGCCCAAACCCAAACTCTCCCTCTCCAAACTTTACCCTGGCCAAATTTGACAAGTCAGCCATTGTTTTTAATAATATTTTAAAGAGAACTGTTCAGATTTGGTGGGTTCATGACAATGCAAAACTAGGATTAGTTTTCTATAAAAAAAAAAAAAAAAAATAACAATCATCACTATCTCACTTTCTCTATAGGACTGGATCTTTAGAAAGTAAACCCACTTGAGATCCAATTCACTGCAGGCACCTTTTCTCTAAACAATAAAGTCTTTTAAATAATCAAGTCACAAGTATAAATATTTGCGGATGACTGACACCTTGGTATCAAATATTTACCTGCAAAGCCCTTTTCGGAAAAATCTCATGAACAAAATTCAAGACAATATTGTATTTGCCATACCTATAGTAACATTTAGGCAGCATTATTTTTAATATGATTTAGTTAAAATGTGTTTTCACCACCAGGCTGCAATATTGATATTTATGCATGAGCAATGTTTGTATGATCTGCAAATTCTTGCATTGATCCCATTAGGTGGGATCAGTCTGATATGCAAATTGACTGGTTCATTTTGTAATGGCACAAGATGAGCTAACTGGAGATCTGCAGGGACCCAACGAAGGGCAGGCTGTTTCAGCTGTTGTACATTCTCAGTATTCTCTTGTACCTAGTTTTTTTGCTCTCCCTACGATTAAAGGGTAATCCAGATGTGGACCCCTTGCTGTATCTAACGTGCAGAGAGAGCTGGCCTGTATTTTGGATGTTCTGCCCTTTTGGGTGGGATCAGTCTGATATGCAAATAGCTTGGTTCTTCTTGTAATGGCACGAGATGAGCTAAAACCAGCTTGAGATCTGAGCCACCGAAGGGCAGGCTATTTGAGCTGTTGTGCGTTCTCAGTATTCTCCTTTACCTTGTTTTTTTTTTTGCTCTCAATGTCCTGCATTGATTTAACATATTGTGAAACTAAATAATTTAAATAATTATTTATTGAATAAAACACTTTTAAAATTACATTATGCCTGAACAAAAATCCTGCTTTACATAATTGTATGATATTTTATAGGTAGCTAATATGACTGCAATTAGAAAATAGTAATATACTGGCGCTTTATACAAAACCTATTTGTCACACGTTATATAACAATATTCAAGTAATAGCTGCTATATCACCATGTGTAATCTTTCCTTATACACTAATCATAAACATATACATAAAACAAAAGGTGAAGCGCTACATACAGATCGAAATCCAATTCTTTTGTTGTTATTCTTTCAAAACAGTGATGTGTATATTTATTTCTGAAAGAGAAATTAAATGTTCATAGTGCAACACTGTAAATAAAGAATTATTACAATCGTAGCTCTATATATGGAACCACTCACATATTACTGAGCTTACGGCCAAGCTCAGGGGTATACGCATTCAGGTCCGTCAAGGCGACCTTTCCCTTTCTTGTATCACCAAAAACGACACCCACGTTGTGGCTAGAGCTCAAACGAAAGTATATATAGTGCAATATAGTCTAAAATCCGTATTGATATAGACAGTATGTGTATATATATACTCACAAGTGTGGAGCCTCCCTCTTAGGCTCTTTTTCAGCGCGTTGTGTAGTTAAGGACTACACTCCTATATAGCAGGAACCAATAGCCCAATAAAATTCAAATATTTATGTACATGTAGAATTATTCTCTGTTGCAGAATCTAGAGCCATTGGACAAAGACCTGTTCAGAAGGTGGTAGCAACAGAGAATAATTCTACATGTACATAAATATTTGAATTTTATTGGGCTATTGGTTCCTGCTATATAGGAGTGTAGTCCTTAACTACACAACGCGCTGAAAAAGAGCCTAAGAGGGAGGCTCCACACTTGTGAGTATATATACACATACTGTCTATATCAATACGGATTTCAGACTATATTGCACTATATATACTTTTGTTTGAGCTCTAGCCACAACGTGGGTGTCGCTTTTGGTGATACAAGAAAGGGAAAGGTCGCCTTGACGGACCTGAAGGCGTATACCCCTGAGCTTGGCCGTAAGCTCAGTAATATGTGAGTGGTTCCTTATATAGAGCTACGATTGTAATAATTCTTTATTTACAGTGTTGCACTATGAACATTTAATTTCTCTTTCAGAAATAAATATACACATCACTAATATGACTGCAAAGCTGTCCATTGCGGGTAGTTTAGGTAGAGAAAGGTATAGGACATTTTTTACTGAATTATCACAGCACAAATGGAGCGAAAATCTGATTATGTGACTGGCTAGAGTTTATCACGCATGTGCAGCACTACAGTAATATATAGGGCAGCATTTTTGTCTGGCTAAAACATTTTCCCTCAGTTTACCAAGACAAGCATCTCACCTTCATAATTTTCTGTTGCAGGCCTTAAGTCAAGGCGTAAGGTCACCTTCAATTTTGGCGGTGGACAGAGCCGCAAAGATAACAATCTGGCTGCCAGGGTGGATTATATTAGTTTTAGCTTGGTTTTAAAGTTATTTTAAGGTTTATTACATTTTGGTTATGTTTTTATTGGTTACGTGTTATGCCTCTTAAACCCTTTAAATAAATGCCACGGCCCTTTTATCCAATTACAGTCTCTTTGTCTTTGATTGTATATATCTCTATTTACTTAATGTCATTGTCCTAATTAATAAGTTATATATTGTCCATGCAATGGACATTTCCTCATGGCATGTTTACTGGCAAACCCCATTCTCCCAAGCTAGTCTACACTTCAAGGAACATACCAAGCACCAGGTGAACCCTAGCAACTCTCCCCTCACCACCACCCCTGTAAGCAGTCAAACTGATTTAAAATGGTTTGACTTCTTATCTGGGGTCCACCTCCACTACTGTCAACAGAGAGTCAGAAACTCCTAAGAAGTTAACACTGCAATTCAGGGTTAGCTCATTGACTGATGGTGTCGGCTGATTCCATCAGAAAGCATATGTTCTAAAATGCTTTGAACACATGTTAGGGGCCAGGACACTCCTATCACCATAACCACTGCAGCATGCTTGAAGTGTCCCTTTCATGTAGAAATAGATTTTCCTATATAAAATGCATTCCATAAGGATATGTATCTATTCTACAGAACCTTTGATAGTGCTTGAAAGTAACCATATGGAACTCTATTCATTACTGATTTCACACCAGGAGCATATAAATTCTTCATACACCAAGGCATCATTTTCAAGAACGTTCCAAGCAGTTTAAAGCCCCACAGTACAACTTCCATGGATTCTGCATCCAATCTGACAAAGATTGATAGATATTTGGAGATAAAAATATAATTCATCTTTGGAAATTAACAATGGACACAGCTAAAAGTGAGTATTTATATTTGGTTAAAAATAAAGTGAATTTCAGAAACCATGGACACAAGAGTGAGTATTTCTATTTGATCAGAAAAGTGAAGGGTGTGTATTCATATTTGATGGTTGGATGGATGTGTGTGTAATATAAAGTCAAATCTAATCTAATATATATGATGTCAAGTACACGCCCAATAGAACTAACTCCATAAACATATATATTATAATACAATATATATGTGCCAATTCAAGAAAAGTAATTTGTAATTTATATAGGCAAAAACATGATGTGTAAACATGTTCATGTTTTATTAATATTGTAGTTACCATTTTGAAAAGCAATATCTAGGCTCTATTGTTATAACTGCAATATGCATAGGAACTTAAAATGAGTTACCACCAGCATGTTAATCAAAATATGTTTTGCCCTTGAATTGCTACAAATCATGACATGCTTATAAGGTTCAAATAAGAAAAGACAAAATGGCTGTTCTGCTATAGTCTAACATGTTGCACAAGATAACACAGATTGTATTGAACAAACATGAACAGGCCATTGTCGTGAATTCAGTACTGCATTTCAAACATTGATATAACACAGCAAATGATTTGTTCTTTCTTGAGATTAAAATGCAAACCTATGAAAGCTACTAATAAGAAACTCTTAGTAAGAAAATAAGAAAAGAGCTTGTAAAGTGAGAATTCTGTTTCTCCTGTGTTCTGTGTTTTTCAGTCAAAGTATCTGTTCAGCTCCGCTTCCATGGCAACAATGATCTGTTTATATATGTATTTGGGTCATAAAGCAAAGCATGTAAAATTGAAGATGGCTGTGTTTGATTCACTAATATTTGGGAGATTTGATTCTGGTAAACTGTCATGAAATGCACATTACTATCTCCTACCCATTATTGAATGGTCAGTGTTGTATCTTTACTGTGTGAATTAAAGAGTTGTCGACCATTTTGTCAGTGAAGCAATGTAATGGTCTCATAAAATCCTCTCCTCTGACTTGCCATGCTTTTTTCCCCACAATCATTTCTTGCTTTTATTCCTGACACATGGCATACTGAATGCATTGTATCATGCTTACAAGACATTTATAGGCACATTAATCTGGTAGATAACATTAAAACCTATGACATGTTAAGAATAAGTTACAAGAGACAGAAAATATGCTGAATGGTAAGAACAAGGGTTTCAGCAAAGGTTGAAAATTATCTATAGTAACTATGTTTGTTCTATGCAATCTATCTATCTATTATTATTGCCATTTATATAGCGCCAACAGATTCCGTAGCGCTTTACAATATTATGAGAGGGGGGATTTAACTATAAATAGGACAATTACAAAAAAACTTACAGGAACGATAGATTGAAGAGGACTCTGCTCAAATGAGCTTACAGTCTATTATCTACTAAATGAATACATTAAAGTGACACTCTAGGAATACTGCAGAGAGCACAGAAGCAGTTCTGCCTATAGAGTCTCCCCTCAGTGGGCTGGCCTGGATGATGGACAGGTATCCGGTATCCGGGTGTGCATTCACACCAATCTGACCTGGCAGTCCTTTTGGTTGACCCTATGGCCCTCACTGCATCACAGCCCCTTAATCCTCCTGACAACGGTTTTCAGAGTCACAAGAGTTGCAGTTATGCTACAGTCTCACTGCTCAATTCTCTGTCATTTACAAGTTATATCACTTTTGATTCTGTTTATGCAGCCCTAGCCACACATCTCCTTGTTGTGCCTTAAGCGGCCTCAATGACAAAAATGTTTTCATTCCAGTATGCACAGTATGTTTACTTTAGAAGTTCATATCTCCTGTTATGCTGAAATTTAATCACACACAAAAGTCTGGTGCAGGCTCTAACAGATTATCAACAGAGTAGAAGATAAGAAATTCTAGTTCAAACATATTGTACAATAAGGGATGCTAAACAATGTTTCTATGTTGTGCTGTATTACATTGCATATTTAATAGGTTTAAGCACTTCAGCATTTTATTTCTATATTAATGATAAATGAGTGACATAACTTCAGTATGATTACTTAAATCCAGTGTTTAAATCCATCTTTCTCACACATGGACATATTGCTTGGGGACCTACAGCTCCCATCATTTTCAGCCAGCCATAAAACGCCAGATGATTTCAGTGAGTGTCCAACAAGAACAGGAGAGATAATTGGGGTTACATTTGAAACTCAATATCTGCATATCTGCAATAGTTTTAGAAGCTGTCAGTTTACAATGTAATTGACATGAGTATCACTGAGCAGTGTGTTTCTTCAGAAAACCAGGCGTGTCTCAAGGGGTGGAATCTGTCGTCCCTGACGTGAGTGTGACAATCATAGTCATTAGCACCTGCCCAGTCAAATCATCAAAAAATGAACTCATATTTAACTATCAAGATTTAAAGAAATCTATGTAGAAATATAATTTATTAATGCTTCTACCAGTCCCCTACAGTGCACTAAGCTGCACTGTTTATTGTACATGTTGCTGTCACTTGTCACCAGATACTTATTTTGAATAATGCATGCAAATTGGTAAACCTTACAGCCTAATTTTATATGAACCAAGAAGAGAATAATTTGCCTTTCCAATGACTGCCCACACTTTAATTATTTTGTATATGGCAAGCACTGGGATAGCAATGGAGATTTAAGGATTGGTGTCAAAGTGATAAATATAAAGCAATTATAAAATTGTCTTCAATGTGAGTTCACCAAGTCTGCAATTTGTTATCCAGCTAAATATGCATCTGCCATACCGAGTGCCTCTATCAATAAACAGTTCATATAACAATGTGTGTATCAGTGTATACCCCAGCATGGGGTAACTAACAGGAATATTAACCAGGTGTGTTAACATCATCCCTCGCATTTAGTGACATTCAACATCAGTGGACCCTATTGAGATGAATGCAAAATCATTTGTGAACTGTGGTTAGGGCTTGAAAGTGCTGCCATGCAGTTGGTGGAATTTATGTGGTGTGATAGCAATGAAAACCGCACTTTCACATGTGAGGATGCGGGTCTTTGCATTGAATGAACACAGACGGCTTTGTCAGGTTAGCACATTAAGTCCTGACGAAGCAGTCTGTGAACGGAGAAATGCGTAGACACGGAAACACGTTGATAAGGGGGCGGAGCCTATCAACAAGCCGGGACTTTTGAAAGATTAGCAGCTGATAATTCGCATGCTACACGGACTGCACCAAAGGAACTCCACTGACCCCTTAACATAGGAGACATCTCCCAGTGTGGGAAAGCCTGGTTGTGGGTAACGGGAACATATACCGTTTTACTCACCATCCCATCTAGTAAGCAGTGACCTGTTGTATGTTTGTGTATTTAACAGTGACCTGCTTTATGTGTGCGTATTAAGCAATGACCTGCTTTATGTATGTTAACTAAGCAGTGACATGCTTTATGCTTGTGTTTTATATTTGCTTTTATAGCTTGTTTTTATATTTGATATTGTTACATATTGGTAATAAATTATTTAATACCCAGATGATCAAGTAATTACATGTGACATTTAGCACTATCTAAGAAGTACCAAGTAATTTATACAGATCTGTTCTATGATCTTTTTATTTTTCTCTTGCATGCTGAGTATGAATTGGAATACCATCCAGTGAGAAATATAAGTATTTTTCTTTTCCTTTTGAAGGCTCTGTTGCATGTGGGAGAAGGGCTTACTGTTGCTTGATATCGCTCCACTTCTGAATACTATACTTTGAATACTCTATATGTGGTGAAGGGATCACTTTGAAGTGTGGTAGCTAGTATCTAATATTTGGGAACTTATATAACCTATAAATAGCTCTATTTTTGCCCTTATAGAGTTTTTATATACTAAGCGCTCCAGTATTGTGTGTTTTATTTTGAACTGACAATCAACTCAACTCTTGTGAGCGCACACACTGTGCACATGCACAATCATATAATCACAGCTTTTCATAGATAATAATTGCTTTCAATGATTCTCTGGATCATGGTGAGAGCTGTGCATGTGCTTAGGGGGCACAATGCTTCTAAATGAGAAACATTTGATTGAACCAATGTCCTGTGACTTGATTACATCACAAGGGGAAAAGGCGGTCTTCATAATGCTGCCTACTAACACCTCTAAGTGCAGTCACACATGGTTCCTATATCAGTGCTGCACTGAATGCAGCACCTATGTTCTCCGCGCTCTGCATGGAGATGCTGAACACTACCCATAGAGCCATTGATTGAAAGCATCCCTGTGAGGAGATGCTGAATGATGCATCACAGCAATTTGCCGTGCATGCGCAATAGCCTTTCAATGCTTTCCTATGGGCATTGGATTGTCCAAGATCATCAGGAGGTGGGGCAAGCCAAGGCAAGGCCAGAGCAGTGATGGAAAAAATTTAAGTTAATTGTCTTTTAAATCCATTCTGAGGAGGGCGTACACTTAAACAGGTACTCCAGTACTATAGTGTTAGAAATAAGTTTGTATTCCTAACATTATAGTGTGTTCCTTAAAAAGAAACTACAAATACAGCTGCAAAATATGTAATTTTAGGATGACTGCCTATTAATTATATTTGTTAGTAACTATAAAAGGTTTACTAATTGGCTAACTAACTGTGGTCTTGATTTAGTAATAGTTCCAAATGATTAAACACTGTTAGAAAAACTTTCCAAATGATTTATCTACAAAAATCTCCATAGACATCAATAGTGACTTCAACAGATATATTGTTTTGGAAAGTTTTTTTCTAACAGTATTGAATCATTTGGAAAACTCATTAAATTGAGGCAAATATTAGTTTTCAAGATAACATGAGATGACATCGTTCCAAAGATGCCACAAAGACAGTGCTTGAATGTAAAGTGCAATGTCACAAAACTGGAAAATGTCACTAATGACAGCAAACTACATACTTGGACAAACTCCATAAGCAAAGAGGAACAGATGTCACAATTCTGAGTTCATTGACAGGGAAAGATGGACAAGTCAGAGGATGGTTGCTAATGGCACAAAAGTGTAACCTCAAAAATCCACACAGGGTTTATTCAATAATTTTAGAATTGTAAAAAACTGATATACCAGATTGCAAAATGTAGGCTCCAAATCAACACTATTTGCACAAATTTTGCAATTCAGTTTTAAACTTACTACTATTCAGAAGATAGTGAATAAACCCCACATATCTGAAACAGCACCTTTATTACCCGGTTCCAACAAAAACAGCACTTTATAAGCAACCCCAAATTAATTATTAAGGTAGCGTTGTAATTGAATAACCACTTCATTGTCAACACAGAAAGAAGTATAACTGGTGAAATAATTACAAATTATTTGATTTCTCCAAGTACTGTTTTGCAGTAAGTTATTTTTCAAACTGTTTTCTTGATCCAGATAGGTTTATGTTTAGAGAAAGTCAAAGGGTACCATATATTTTTCCAGTTGTTAAATGTGGTGAAAGATCTATCATGATACCGGCAACCATCTTGGGGAGTAATTGTTCAAAACACAAGCCCACAGGTAGTGCTAGATTGCAGAGTGAGGTTTTTCTTTTTGAAATATAGTGCGATATTACACATCAGGACTGGTATGACAGCATTCCAAGAAGGATTAAGGCACATGGTGGCCCTACTTCTTATCACGTTTCCTCATTTTATCCACCCCCGTACAACACTTCACAAATGGCAGCAACCTGTATTATAAACACTGCAGGATTCATGAAATCATATGCTACAAATGCAAATGGAGCCATTTCATTACACAGATATGCATATATTTTTTTTAAATGTATTTTACTGCATTTTAAGTCATTTAAACCTGTACCATTTAACTACTCACAAACACATTCAAAAATTACCCTAAAGTAGATGTCAAGATGTTTTTTAACTCAAAATTATTATAACCATTATTGCCATGTAAATATAGTCAGACAATGAATGGCTGCCATCGACACAGAATAATAGGCATATCAGAAATATATGTTTATACATAGCAGCATATCATGAGAAAACTTAATGGGATGATATTCATGGTTACTTCCCCTTCAAATAATTGCAGGTGTTCACAATTTGGATAATGCCTACAGCCAGCTTTCCCAACAGGCGGCATATGAATTTGCTTAGAGCACACTAAAAATTAAAGAAAGTTGTCTGCCAGCTGCTACAGTGTTGCGTTTAAATATAGATATATCATTTGAGAGTTAATTTTATGGATTTTTGACGTGACAGTCATCCAATTAGTTGGTATGCATACTACAAAAATGGTGTGTTGCACATTTATATTTTTGGGCCTTAGCATGATAATGACAATAATGTTGGGGAGGAATAGGTAATTCTTTTATACAATGAGCTCATTTGTGTTATTGTCACAAGATATATTTATCATGCCTCATATTTGATTTTCATACAGCTATAGTATCTAAATTGTCTCATGTACATAAATGACAGTAATCAGAACCACCAATCCTATTGAAATCCATTAAACAATATTCAATGGAATGCTCATATGATGCCAAATGTAAGTAGTACAATAAGAGAATAGATCACTGTTAGATTTATATTTGGATGGGTAACGTGTTTAGTATTGCTTCTGGGAAGTATGCAAATATATTAGCCTTAAACATGTTTATTGTAACTGTATTTTCTGCATGATAGATTTCCAATCAATATATGTATAACATTGCTAGTAAAACCATTTTGGTAAAAGGTTTGTGGTCACAACTGTTAAATGTAACAGTTTGGGTTAATCTAAACATACCAAGGAACCAAGGCCACCAAGATTTGAGATTTGAGATGCCATTACAATCAATTCAAGAGAAGGCATTGTCATCCAAAAATACATTTTCAGAAAAAAAAGATTTGTGAGGTTTGATGATGTAAAAGTCAGGACTTTGCACCCAAATCATCTCTCCATACATTGTGTTTTAATGTATTTCCTAGCATGTTTAATACTTAGTAACAATAGAATATCCATTGTAAAACACGAACTGCATCAGCTTCCCATATGTGTCATTTTTGTACTAGGGGAAAAGTAGTCGGGAGAAAAGCAGCCATTTTCTGCAAATGGTAGTGTACAGTATGTTCTTACACAGAGCAAGTCTGCCCTGCCATCTCTGTCATTCAGATGATTTATGGTTGACTCAACACGTGCTTCTAAATCTCTAACTGGGGGGAAATGGAAAACCAACAAATGATTTATGTTTTATAATAATCTAAAATTGTATTAAATTGCCAATTATTAAGTTGGGGAGCTACGTCTACAATGGGCTATTCAAGCAATCAGTGAAAGCATTCAAAATCACTAATGCACCTTATTTAAAAACAAAAAGAGAATGGTATAGAGCGAGAGATGAACTCTACCCTATATAAAATAAACATTTTTGACTGTTTCTCCGTTTGGTGTCAATTTTACAACCAAACTCCCCTCCCCCCCAAAATCCACCTTTTTATAAAACAACCCGGTTTTTGTAACTGATGCAATATATCTATTGTGGATGCTCAAACTGTGAATGCATCTTTTTGTTACTGGCCATGTCTTGCTGTGAGTACCAGGGAGAGCTACGTGTAGGAGAGAGCAGTCACCACGCCCCATTCATATGGGCATGCGTGAGTCAAAGACAAAGGAATTGGTAATTACAGGAAAGTCTCATTCATGTCCACTGCAGTGTTCATCATTCAGTGACTGGCTATCTCATTATCACAAATCATACATAGCAGGATTTTTTTTAATCCTCTAGGTCGGTAATTGCTTAGTCAATATAAATATATATATTCACAGTTTCAGTTCCCCTCTGGCTAGCATGCATAACTCATGTTATCTAAAGCATGATCATATTGCTTTCACAAGCTCTGCCTGATAAACAGAAATAACATTATAAATATGTGTCCATATCATAAAATAAAAAGTAACTAAAGAATAATAAAGGATTGCACAGAACAATTAATGATGGCTGCAGCATGTCCCTGTACAGATGCATGTGACTCCATCCAGCTGTTGCATATGCATAGGGGCTGCATCCAGCAATGCATATCTAGAGCTGGGTGTCTAGTGATCAGTGCACTCCAGATAGACAATTACTAGAGAACACTGAATTCTATCCAACGTTCTGTGAGAGCTGGCAGATTTATGACCATAGTAATGTCCCCATTAACCCATTCCTTCGATTGACAAGCCAGCGCACACATGCAGCAGAAACGCCCAGACGCATATTCCATGATCCAGATTGATGATGATGATGGTTATTGCCCTAGCACAATATAAGAGGCTGTGAACAGCCCCGGACAAAGAACGCAGGAAAAAGAACAGTATTTAGGTCATTCCTTCCTCACATGGGGAGATTGGGGATTAATATGTCCAGATCCCTTAACGAGAATGCACAGCTTATTGCACACAGGGATAGTGACGTCCAGTTATACTACCCCAAACCTCCCTCTTATTATAACCCCTTCACTATTCTAAGTATACTTATACATGTGTTTTGGCTGTAGAAGTAAGTGCACCATATATCACTTATCAGTTACGTCCAAAAAAAACACATTAAGTAGACATATCTTTACACAGTGAGCAGTTCCTCTTTTCTGTCAAGGGCTATGGCTTTTATTTAAAGACAGGTCTCTTTTTTTACAAGTGAAGTAATGAACCCTATAACACTCCTTTTCCACTGGACCATTTAGTCCATTTCTTCTAACACCAGAGACAGAGAGGGGCATGTCCCCCTTTCTGCCCAAGCTGGCTTCCAGCTGCTCACATAGAAATGGAGTGATTCATTTGCAATCAGCTCAGGGTATATGTGTGCTGTAAAGTCTATTCTCCTTACCTTGTTGAATATCCTGTTTTTGTCCTTGTGTTTTTGTGTGCCCTGGTGCCACAGAGATCCCTGCTTGGCTACTGCCTGCCTGGGTTAGTCTGGGTGGCTGTGTCTCCCTTGGTCGGTGGCTGGGACTGTAGTGATTAGCGCCCGTTGGAGCAATGCTTCTGCTGCTGTCTGCAATTTCTCTCTCTCCCTCCTCCCCCTCTGGTTCTTTTCACTCTCCACCCCTTGTCTCCCCCTTTCTCTTTTGCTCTCTCTCTCCCTCTCCCCCTCCTTCTGTCCAGTCCATAAACCACTCTGAGATTTTTTTTTTCAAGGTTTAAAGTGAGTGTGCTGTTCTTACATACATTCAAATTTGGGAAAGCTCCCTGATCTGAGCTGTAAGTGTAGGCATGCACACTGGTTCTTTGGAAAGGTGTATGGACTCATGACTGACACTTTGAGTGCCTTTTCTACCCTCACCTAGGACTATAAGCAGTGGATTTTACTTTTTTGGGTGCAGGTCTCAAGCTGTTTTTCTGTCCTGTGGATAACAGATCTTCATTCACATCTCTGGATCATTTGATTTTATAAGCCAATACAGTCATACAAAAAAGACATTTATTCTTATTGCATCTCAACTTCTTCTAGGTGTAGGAGGTTTTAAATTGTTGCTGAAGGAATAAGGTGACTGACACTATATCAGGTGTGCATAGAAGAAACCTGCTACTACCTACCTGACAGGTGACCAACCTCACATCTTCAGTCAGAGCCACATTGAATGTGGATTGCTATGGAATTCCAATAGTGAGTTTGTGAATTACATGAGCCCACTTAGAAAAGCTGGGTAAATTATAATTACGTCGAAAAGTGCTTTTGTTTACTTTTTCCAATTGTTTATTGCATGCGGCGTATGATAAACTGATTATCAGCATCTTATTGCTGATTAAATGTCATTAATACGTTAGTACGTACCTGAAACAAAAATTTGAGCAGAATAGATTTTATTCTAAGTACATAACTATATTTATGTATCATCATGTGATTAGAATTGTATGTGAGCGTGTGCTTGTTTGCTAAACTTGAATTTCCAGATCTTTGGCTCCCTCTGCAGAACAAATTGGACAGCAGAACGAAATAGAAATGTGAATGTCTATTTTTTAACATTTTCTAACCTTTAGGAATGTATAAATGATCTACTATGGAATTGTCTTACTTGTATGACCTATTCATATACACCTGTCACACTATTACTTGTAATGAAACATTCACCCTATGCAACTAATATTAATATCATTAATTGATACACGTGTAGCAAACAGGTAGCCTTCCATCTGTACATCTGTTACAGAAATACAACTCGCACAATGCCTTAGCACTCTGAGATGTGCAGTTGTACCGCAACCTGAGTGCTACATGTAAGCTGGCATTAACATACAGTGACCATCATTTTGCTATGTTTTGGTCCAGACATTAATTAATATTCTCTAAATTTTACTCATGCACTTTCATGTAGCATATCAAAATCAGCATTCATTAATTAATTATTTGGCAAATGTATGTAGATCAATAATTTTGTAGCTGATCTTGGCTGAATATGTACATACTACATATAGATATAGAAAAGATGTGTGATTTATTTTGCAGTACCATGAGAAGTTTATCTAAGACAAGTTCATTGACAGACAAGCAAAATCTGATGGGTTATATAAGCATAGCTATTTGTCAAGTTGTATAACCCTTGCATAAACAAAATGTCATTGCAAACACAATTTGCATATTTTGCAGAAAATATTTTTATTGCGTGTAAAAATGGACCCTTTTGGTAATGTTTAAAAAAAAAAAAAAAAAAAAGACATTAAAAGCTCAGTGTGTACAGAGTGAATTCAATCCTGCAGTTTCTATAGTAACCATTTGGAAAGCCTAGGTGGTTTAAATATGGCAACATTTGCTGTTACATTATTGTCACAAAATAATTCACTTATAATATTACTAATAAGAGTACAGCTTTGAAATTCCATCGTAATGCCCCCAAAAGATCGTATTTTATCTTTGCACCCTTTAGAAGGCAACAGGAGAATAAATAACTGGACTAAATGCTGGTGTCTTGGGGTTGCATCATGATTACCTTGTAAAACAGTGATATTCGCCTATTAAAACATTTTGCAACTACAGTTTCAATATTTTCTAAAAAAAAAGAGCATCAAGCAATATTGAGTTCAGTTTATATATATTTTCATATGAAAGCTGCACTGCATACATAGTGAGTTTTTCCTATTATTAAATTATATATGGCTTTGAATTAGATAGAATTTAATTGGTCCAGCTTTTATTTTCACATGCACCTTCTCGGTTCTTATATGTATGATCTTCATTCACACATACTCATATGAGCTAACGATAACCAATTACTAATCTACCTCTTTATACATCAAATTATTGCTTAACATACATATATAGAAACTCTGAACTGTCCAAAGTCATTATGTAAGTTTCACAATGTAGAAATCATGGATGTAATCAGTTTGTTTTCATAGCAAATTATTTTTGCTGCATAAAATGCATTGATGTTTTCTACAAATTATTAAGGTGATGCAGTGCTCATTCCTCTTTCGCCCCTAGGGTTTAAATGTAAAAAAGAGCTTGCAGACAGGTAAATAAGAGCATTTTGTTAAATAAACATTACCTTTAAACACTGTATCCCAAATCAGCAAAAAAAAGTGCCTTTTACCCTACATTTGTTCCTTTTTGGAGGATATTCACATATGTTCAAAGCAGGATTTTCTATGGTATAAAGTATTTTTTACTTTTATTTAAATGCAGATAAAATACTGTCTTTATAATGATTCCTTTATTTCAAACATGCCTTGATGTCTATAAGAAGAGAATACCATTTAATTCCAGTTAAAAAGCTGTATCAAGTGTATACATTTGTGTTAACACCTTTATATTTACCAATATGCCACTGGCACAGCATTAAATATTAGACTATATATTGCACATGGTAGGCACAGTGCCTCCAAGTGATGCAGTGACATTTTATAATTTGTAGTGGTAACCTGCACAGAAGGAAATGTGGTATACCATCATGCCAGACACACTTTACATGGAGAGCCACCCAGTCCATTTCTTCTAGCTTAATGACAAAAGGAGGAACTGCTCTTTCAGTAAGTTTATAGGTGCCTGCAGGAAATTTATGGATCACTGGTTCACTTTCTAAAGAATGCAGGTCTACATGAAATGTAGAAATGTATACAGAACATTTACACAAAAATAAATTTACATTTCATTTTTTTTTTTTATAAAAAATCAATACATGTATTCCAATGTATTCTAATGAATGGAATTAAGAAGTGTTCTATTGTCATCCATGGTTACATACATCATCAATTTAGTGCAAATCTAGCAATAATTGTTCTTTGTGTAACTTACCTTACGTACTCTCCTATATATTTTCCGAACATTTGAAAATGTTGTTCTCTTCACTCATAATAATAATAACAAAGTATTTAACCAGGAAAGGCACATTCAGATTACTCTGGTTTTTAAGTACATCCTGGGGTTGTTACTATTACCCAATTTTACTAATTTTATCTACCTTGGAGGATGAAGGGCTGAGTCAACCCGGCTGGGATTTGAATCTGCGACTCAAGGGTTCAACAAATTCTACTGATGATGCATTAGCCCACTGAGCATATGTGTCTTGAGCCAAAAAAATATATTCAGTGGGAAGTGCTGGCAGTGAAAGTATAAACAAGTTAATACAAAATATAATGTTCATAAATTAAACCATTATTTTGGAAAATTGAAATCTGAGGTCTATATATCCATAAAAGGAGACAGGATCAATGTTTAAGTATTCTGTCTGGAGCATGTTTTCTGCTTTCTCAGTACATTTTATTACACATATGGGTGTTGGACATCCACTTTCCATTGTATGAATTTGCATTATAGTTAAAAACAAGTCCCCTGTACCAGAAGAAAATGGGAATTGAATATAAAGTTCACAGGTTCAACAGCAAGGATGCATACTGCAGTTTTAATGAAGATAGAAACACATAAAAACATAAATTTATATATTGACTATGGCTATTGGGCCGAAACGTTGTTTTTTGTGTGTTCTTGTCTTCATTAATACTTCAATATGCATTCCTGTTGAACTTGCGGACTTTATATTGAATATTATTACCTGGAGTTTGCGGGCCTCCACCACAGAGTACCATGAGGAATGTTGGTTCCCATATCTATCCATAGGAGTGCCACAACACTTTGTTTATTCCAGAAGAAAAGTATGTGCATGACTGCTGGACTATATCAGTTATTTGAGTGTATCAGAAAGTACATGATTGGATATTGTGGCGAATGGTTGTAAATATGGTAAAATGTTTAGATAGAATGAATAAAAATGCATGCTTTTGCGTTCCAGGCTAATGGCCAAGTTTGACCACCTAAAACTGTTTGTTTTGTGAAGGAGAATCATTTCAATCAAGGTTGAGGTGCAGTCATACTGGTGAGTTGAAAGTTAACAATAGTGAGGATCTTATTTTTTTTCTTGTAGAGTGGCTTACCTCCCTTCTCGTGTCTGCACAAGCTACCATTGCCAGTTTCTGTTATTATTGCTGATGTGCTTTTGATGATCATTGCCTGTTTTTGTTTTTTTATACTATTGCTACACCTTTACTGGCCACTTGTCCTTGAGATGGATGATAGGTCAGACAACCTCAGCTCTCTGAGCAAACCTGTCATGTATCTTAACATGCAGCATACCAGTTGTAAGATGTGTTACTTGCACTGGCCCATCTTCTTTTCTTGGGATCTATGTCACTTCTTTATCTAGCGTGTGAGGTCTAAAGTACTGAAATACACTATTACTACCATTTAGTATTATATTACCTAGTACTCATATCGCTGGGTGCTGTTTTCTGATGCTGGCTTTGCCTGGCTTGGAATCATGGGAATTACAATACACAGCACCTTGAAGGCAAGTTCCCAAGGCAATAGCCTCTTAACCTAAATCCTTTTAAAACTACCCTAAAATAAAATGTAAAAATGCTCAGTTTTGTCCCAGTTTGTGGCATGTGTAAAATGATCATTTAAGGAATTGCCATACGAGTTATTTATACTGGACCCCCATTAATGTAAATGCCAAGTGTTAGAAAAAGACAATTCATATAATCAAATAATATGTCAGGATACTGTTCACTTGTGTAAGTTTCAACATTTGAATATCAGATTACAGATGAGGTTCTAGCAGAAATGTATTGTGTAGATGTCTCCAGCCCATAATATATTGGGCTGTTTCTGCAGTGTCTATAATTTATAGCAAGTGCTTCGGTGGATGAATCTGGAAAGTGGAAAATTTCCATGGTTTAGTAATAATGGCTTTGAGGAAAAGAGTTCCTGGATAAAGTTTTATATATGCGCCTACAAAGCCTTTTGGACTGCAACTGACACATGCTATGTACTGCTGTATAACAGTATATTAAATAAAACCATGGTCAATATTATTTCTAGATTGACTGTGTCAGTCAATGAAGTGTTATTTGATTTAATAGCTATAGAAAGATGCATTAATGCTCGATAGATACGAATCAAATAAATAGAAGCCACCAGTTCTAAAAAAACAACAAAAAAAGACACCTAATTTAAAGATGTCAAGCTCCTGAATAAGTTTTACACTTTACATCACTTTACTTTACATGATTCAAAAATGGTATGAGGCAATATTGGAATATAATACATGTTTCTAATAGTGTTTATCAATTTCTACATATGCTGGGAAAAGTCCAGCTGCTATGACTACGCATAATGCGTTTGCGCTCCTGCTGCCTTTGCTTATGACCCTATTAGGCCCTCCAGTCACCAACCGCATGAATGCACAGGTTGCCTGTGATATAATGGCATGTGACTTGGGGGTATGAATATCTATCTGTCTCCTTTCTATGTGATGGCCAATATATACTCAGAATGGCACATTTATACCTATATTTAACCACTAAATAATATTAATTTGTATCTTCATTTTCTTTTTGTACTTAAATGTTGTAATAATTGGTCATACTCATAAAATGTTTAACTGAGCTAAAATGAATGGAATACATTTCTCTGGAATATTGTGGGAGAAATACTCAGCACTAACCCAGTTCTAAAATGAATGTGCGACTACAGGATATTTTGAAAGTAATGTGATATGAAGTGTTTGCCTTAGATGTTCTTAGAATTTGAGATTATGAGTTTTGAATTTAATCACTGAGTAATTTTGTCAGAAGTGGTTGGTCTAAATTTAAATGGCTTCAATATGCATGTCTAAATTATCAGTTAAAGTTACAGAAGACAATTTAGAACTATAGTTAGGCTAATGCATTTCTACAGGCATTCTTGAAAAAATATCTTAAATTGATTTCCATATTGTGCAAGCTCTCTATTTAAGTATTTCTAAAATCATATATCCATGGAAACTGATTTTAGTCTAAATTGAAGAAGAAAAAAAATATAGAACTCTATCTGAATGTTGGTATTTTATCCAGATTAGCTAAGATAGCCTCATGTATAAATGAATATCACAAAGTATATCTATAATGCATCTTTGTGTTTTAAACAATAACATGAGCTATAATGCTGGTAATTTATAAAATGTACTTTCAGACAAAAGTTCCATTACTAGAGCAGTTGTTATGGAAATCAGTGGGCTATTCTTGCTTATTGCTCTACTTTCAGATTTTTGTCCCAGAACCCTCTTTTTATTCTAGAAAACACCAATGTATCACTGGTTCTTATTCCAAAATGAGGAAATCTAGTAAGTGGGAAATTGTTTATATCTTAAGAAATTGGGATTCAGGCCAGTTTATGCTAAACTATTCAAGAATAAGAGGACTGCCCATGCAGGAGATAGGAAGGTATTCACTGGAGAAACATATACAGAGTAAATGGGGATAAGATCTAGAGTTGGGAGACATACGATCCAAGTTTCTAAGAGCTTAAAGAATAAATCATAGATGTGGATAATATAATGTTTGCAAAAATTGAGAAAAAGCTGATGATCCATCTGCCAAGTGTGCTAGAGTATATTGCCAATACTTTGACGCTTTCAGGAGTAATTGCTGTCAAATCAGGTTTTATAGCCAAGGCTCTAATATATGCCCCTGAAGGATACAATAGGCTGCAGTCCAGAGCTGTTCAATTGTGACTCTTCAGCTGCTGAGTCACAATTTTCAGAACAGTTTGCAATTGAGGATGGTGGGAGAATTCTGGACGTTAAAATCCAAAATCAGTTGGAAAGCTACGTGAAAAGTATGGTTCCTGGGTATCTTGTGGTAGATAACAAATTTATCACCAATATGCTCTGAAGTACTAGGTCTAAAGCATTCTGATACTCATCATATGAGAAAAATGACTAGGTTAACTACATCGTGTTATTCACTACCATAGTATGTTAGAAGCCTGTTATACTGTCATTACCATACCTGTTTACACGCCAGCTTCATTCGCCCACCACTCTGTTAATAGCTTTTATAAATCTGCTCATTTGTTGTTAGAACCAGCCCCCTAGCCATAGACATTGAAGTGGCCTTTTAAAAAAACAAAATTTTAATACAAAATGTGATCTAAAAATAAAGTCTTTCCAATTCTTCATCTGTTAAGCAGGAATCTTTCTCAATATACGCCTGGAGAAAATTGGTTTAGCACCATCTTTATCCCTACAGACAACTGTTGCATCTCAGAAAATGCTGCATATTTGCTGTGTGTGAGGCTGTGAGTGTGTTTTTTTCCCTCCCCGATCAAGAGGAATGCTGAGCACCAAGGGTAGTGTGATTGGAATAATGATCTTTTAGTTGCTATGGAAACTGGAGCGAATTCAGGAGCAAGAGTATGAGGGGTTAGATGTGTCTTCAAGAGCGTATTTGTCTATTTCTGTGTTCTCACACAACATGGCGATGGTTTACTGACCAAGCTTTAAAATCTACAGAAACATAAACATTTATAAACATGTTTGGACTCTTCTGTGACTAATTAATTGCTTATACCATATTCTTTTTACTTAGAATTGTGAACCACATAATCATTTTATGAAGTGCTTCTAAGCACAAAATTGAATGCCTCTTTTTAGTACAGACTGCTTTACAGAAAATATGTATTGCTTATTTATATTTTAAGACAAAAAAATCCCTCCCTTTGCACTTTCAGTAAGAGAGTTCAGTTTTCTATAAATAATTTAACTTGCAAAGCAAAAATACAAAAAGAGAAGTTTAAAAAGGGGAAGGTGCTATACCAAATAGGTTGCTGTAAAGAAAAGGAGAAATATTACTAAAAAGAGGAATTATGTGTTTTTATTTTTGTTAAGTATAATTTCTCATAATGCAGTTCTGGGATTACATTAAAATTCTAATATCAGAATGTAGACTTGCTGTCCTCCAAGCACCACTCTAGTAAGTATGGTGCAAGGTTGGCAGAGTATCATACAAACTGTAGGACCTACTTTTTGGCTTTCCCTTTCTAGCATTTTAGCTAGAAATTTGGCTGATTCATGACCACTTCACAATATTTATCAAGAAAAAAATGTATGAATCCTATGGTAAGCCATTCTTCTTATTTTCATGGTAATTTCACCTTATTTACCACCCCTTAGTTATAAAATAATACCACAGGTTTGTTCCTAACAAATATGGTCTATAAACCGGTTTTATTAAGATAATCAATGTGGCATGCTAACTATTACTACAAATATAGGACTAGGATTTTAAGTATAATATTTAAGATTTGTTTACTAATTGATGAGCATGGCAGAGTTTATTGGCACTCCAGAAGTTGTGGACTACATCCCCCATAATACTCTTAAACCCATAACGTTGCCACTGGTTTTTGGAGGAGCCTGTTTGCCAGCCTCCTGCCCTGTGACTATTGCCCCTGTGGTGAACTTTGGGTTTAAGAGTTGAAGTTGCCGCCATTCGACATTCGACCACGTGGCGGTGGCCATCTTGTTTAGTCGAATGTGTTCAGCTGTGTTTTGTCGTGGAGTTCATGAA